TGGAAGAAAAAAACTGAAGCACCAGGAGGAAACCGCCGACCTACGACAAATAACTGACAATTTGTTCTCGTATATTTTTAATTTTTTTGAAATATTCTTTATTATTTTTGAAAATGGTTTTTTTAGACATTTTTTTTGTTTGTAATTTAAATTTTTTTTTTATCATATTTTGAAAGTGTTTTTTTTAAATTATTCTTCCAAATATAAAATAATTGATTTATTATATTTTCAATTGAGGGAAAGATTCAATTGTTCTCTAACAGTTGGGTTTTTATTATTATTATGATTATTATTATACCTGTTTTTATGGAATTGCACAAATCTTAATCCTTCCGACCAGTGTGAGTTGTTGTTCTCGTGTGTCCATGAAATCATCATACTCTTTATGTCAGCGTTCACTTTTTCAACGGACCCCTGACTTTGTGGGTGACGTGGTCTACCATGCGCCAACTTGAGCTGTGGCCACAGAAGTTTAAGTTCTGTTATTACATTAGCCGTAAATTCCCTTCCATTATCACTTTGCAGGATATGTGGAGCTCCCAAAAGTAAAAAAATGTAAGTGAGTTGGTAAACCACTTCAGCTGCTCGTTTTGTCTTTAACGGGCGCAGTACACTGAATTTGGTAAAGTGATCCTGGTAGTGCATGATCCACTTATATTAAAGTCTGTAGAAGTGATAGGACGAACGACTAATTTGGTGGTTTCAGAGCGACTTTTTTTTCGAAATACACTTTCCACACATCTGAATGAAAATCCTGATAATTTCTCTGCTGATATTGGCAAATTGTTTTTTTTTAACTCCTTATAAGTTTTGTGTATGCCTCCATGACCAACTCCAGAATGTGCTGTTCTAATCAGAGGGTATAAAGTAAAACAATGAAAATTCTGAACACCAAGGAAAATTCAAAACGGAAAGTCCCTTAACGATTGAAAAATCAAAAGCTCAACCACATCAAACGAATGGAAAACAACTGTCATATTCTTGACTTGGTACAGGCATTTCCTTATGTAGACAATGGTGGATTAAACCTTGTTTTAAAGCTAGCTAAACCTCTCACTTGTATGACAGTCGCATAAAATTCCATTATATTGACAACAATGTGTGAATGTCAAAAAAAGGGGTACATCAGTCAACACTGTTATAATCTTTATCACTATAAAACAAATAAATATGTCAACAAAGAAAAACAAAATGGCGTATAGACAAAGCACATACGTAAAAAGGATACACAAGAATACAAAAAATGACCACAGCACAACAATACAACTCATCAGCTGTACAATAATAGATAATTTCGTCTCCTGTGCGAATGAGTTTTTCAATTCCTGTCGGCTGCTACAGATTTATTGTCATCCCACAATTTAATTATTTCATCATGAAATTTCTTTTATATACTGTTTTCCATCTTTACACTTCAGTTATGCCTACTAAACTGCACTAAACTAGTTTTTAATTATTTGTCTGAAGGGAAAAGATTTGTTGTGAACATCAAATAGGCCAAGGTAGAATAATGATTTGTACAAATAATTATCTTTTTCTCAATAAAAATTGTACAAGTAATTACTTGTACAATTGTATTTGTACAAGTAATAATTTGTACAAAATAATAACATGTACACGACATATATATATAGAACTTGCGTCAATAGAACGACAGCATTTTTTGGCTGCGTTGTCAGCTGGTACAAACACAAAACGCTTTCTGACAATATCTGATTCTCTGTTTATTGTTTTGAATAGAATTCTGTTGTATAAAAATACTTTCGAAATGTTTAATACGATGCCAACAGAAACGTGCATATTATGATGAAGGGCTTCAATTATTTTGAATCAACTTTCTTCTGCAATCATTGGGATGAAGTTTGTAGAAAGGAAGCCACTGACTTTACGACCTTCGTTCACAACTCAAAATGTTTAGAAAATAGAGAAATTAAGACCCTGTTAGAGATATATAAGAATGCATATGAAACATTTGCCACTGAACTTTAAGCCACCAACAATCAATGAAATTTATTGATATAGACAATTTCATTTTAAATCGTTTAAGAAGTTCAAAAACTGGTTGAGAAGATAAAAATGTGTGTTGAAGATTAATGGATATAAGTGTGTGAAGTAGCCTTGGTTTTAATTAAACCAACAAATATTTTATTTCAAACAAGAAAGTAAATTACTATCCGAAAACTTGTAATTTTCGTCCGAGTAAGTTTGATGTCATTTATCACAGTTATTTTCTACAAATAAGAATGCTTTTCCTAGAAACGTCACTAGCAACATGAACATTTCCATAATTTCAACATAAACGGTTGTTAAGCAGGAAAACTAAAAGACAATGCAATAAACGACCGCAGTTAAAATATTTTAATTATGGTATACAGGCTTTTGCTGATCACGAATCGATCACAATCCTTTCACTGTTTGGTCTAATGTGTTGTTAATCGTAAAATTCATATAGTACTTGTCGCTCATATAATGTTTTTCGTAGAATTTATATAGTACTTGTCGCTCATATAATGTTAATCTTAGAATTTATATAGACTTATTAAAAAGTGCTTGTCTCTCATATATTGAATTTTCCCTTTTTTAGTATAATATTTACATGCTAATCTGAATTCTCTTAAAACCTTTCATAAGTTTGTTTGTTTAAGAGATGGAATAATGGCCGAGGCTTATACTCGCTTATGCAATTATTTTTATTTGTGATAATATGTTATTGTTTGGCTTTAATTGTCATATATACAGTCATGGTTTTTGCTAATGACAATGCTTTATCGTGATCTATTGTCATCGATTTAGTCAACTAAAATGGCGTCCTTTTGTCTGCATTGAATTTACTTGAATAATATTTATGCAGTGAAAGAAAGTCAGTTTCACTAAATACCATGACTGTCATAGTAGCATAAATTGATAAAAATTACCATCTCAGGTAAAATGAAAACATCTTATGACTAAGATTGATCGTAAGTTATACTAAATGTTCATGACTTTCACGAATTTTTTTCTGTGTGTAAAAAGTGTCACTTCGTATTCTGTAGTTATTATTTTTTACTTCAGTGTAAACCATAATACTCTTTAAAATAGCTCGAAATCAAAATAAAGAGGTTTGAAGGATATCTTTTCATTGAATGTAAATAATGAGTGGAATGGGAATTCCGTAAAAAAATTGGTAGACAAAAAAAATCTTTTTATGTCGTCAATGTAATTGCCTTTGTCTAAAATCTTGGAAAGCGAGACAGAAGCGGTTGATGGCTAGATAGCGATACGCTGGTGCATAATTCTACATTCCCATTAGCCAATCATAATCTTATAGTTACTATTCAAAGAGATATTGAACACCGGTGTATTTTTTTTGTTGTTGGAATTTTGAGGGACTGCTAAATTAAATCTGTCTGAAAGTAGTTTTTAAAGCTATTCACTTTCTTATTGATCTTTTGATGTCCACTTCAATAAAAAGTTTTGTTTCTATTTTCTCAAGAACATTTATTTTCTCAAGAGTTTTTAAAAACCTTCAATCTGATGTAACTAGTTACGTTGGTACCTTCCTATTAAATTGAAGTTTTGCGTATCAACTGTTTTGGTAACCATGAAATATAAAAACCGAAGTAATACTCATCGCTAGGGAAATCTGAGATAATTTTAATTTCTCACAAGAGATCAATAGGAGAAAACGATGAAGACAATAATATAGGAAACCTTCAAGAAAATTAATGTGGATTCTTATGAAGATTAATATAAATATTTTTCTAGTCAGACGATTCAAGTGATGAAATACAAACATTTCCACCGAGAAAAGATGTAATCAGTAACGATATATGAAAAGAGACGACGTTTTTGTTCAATAATATTGCTGTATACTGATGTTGTCTCTAGGTACAATTATCGACAGATGCGTGTTCTCTGTTTGTTGTCTCTGTTGCAGATAGTCTTAATCAGACTTTGATTTCAGCGGCGCTTTTGTCACTTATGATGATCTGTTATGTAAAGTACATGGTCAAAGGTTCAATTTGATGCGCTAACAATGACCTGGAAACACGTCAATATAATGATAAGATGTGGCATGGTTGCCAGTGAGACAACTAACTATCAGAGACCAAAGGACGTTGTTATCAGTTTCAGAAATGTAAATTTTTAGTATCCTCAATCTCGTGAAGCATCACTTATGATTAGAAACGGGTTGCAAAGTCCCTTAGCAAATTTGACAGATTCATTCATTTATTTAAATGAAGGGGAAACAAACCTAAATCAATGCATGTTTGATTTCTCATCGAGCCATGGAAGTATCTCCTACTTACTTTTGCATTAAGCAACTTGGACTATTATGAATTATCATATAATTATTTTACAGCTGTTATCCTAATGCTAGCAAGTTAAAGGTTTTATTTGCTTGCTTGCTTTGTTTGTATTAATGTTTGCTCAAGCTTAATTAAGATTGACATATGAAAACAATATAAAAAGGCGGAGTTAAACTTGTATGCATTATATTTAAATTAAACATCATCAAATAATCAAATTTACCTATATACAGGTTTAACTCCGCCTACTTATATCATTTGCAGATGTCAATCTTAATTACAATGCTTGAGCAAACTTTAATACAAACAAAACAAGCAAGCCAACCAAACATTTAAGTTGCTAGCATTAGGATAACAGATGTAAGACTACGATTTTTTAAACACTTTTAAGATAATATTATTAATTTGCAGATATATATTTAGGAGAAACATCATCGTGATTGAATAATACTAATAATAATAATAATTATAATAAAAATTCATATATTTTTTCTCATTTTTTTTACCGACTATTCATTAAGAACTACAGAACAACATTAGAATATATGAAAAAAATTAAACAATATGTATAGCAATCAGATTCCCATTATAAAAATGTATAAAAAAAAATGGATAGATTGTTTTTATGTTTTCTCTCCGCATCATAACGTCTGTTGGTAATATAATTATATCCACAATTTATTGTTATTTTTATGCATTTTATATTTTCAGATCAAGTCTCCTTAATGAGAGATAGTCAGTATGATATAGAACTAAGGAGAAAAGGTTCCTTTGACGAATCCCTCACGGAACATTCCTACAGATTCGGCACCAAGTTTTACGACACAATTACATATAGTGAAAGTTTGGACTTTGACATCTCTTTGTCGGCTCCGGATCTGCACGAACTTTACCGATATCATGTATTTTTTTCCCACTGTAACGAAGATAAGTCATGGGTGTGCAGTATTATGAACAAACTTGAGTCAGAACCATATAATTACAAGTGCTCTTATGGAGATTTTCAAAATGCAAACAAACTAAGCTTCTTTCAAAGTGCTTTATGTTCCGCTATGCTCAGTGAACGAGTAGTTGTTGTATTAACACCAAATTATGTAAAAACCGCTTGGAAAGAGTTCAGAGAAATTTTACAAAACTTGACAGAAAAAAGTCTATATCGACAAAGAATGTTGGTAGTTTTATTAAAAGATTGTATGATTCCAGAACCGTTGCAACAACTGGGTTTTTTAGATGCCAGAGAAAGTGATTTCTTTCCTTGTTTTGTCAGATATGTAGGCAGTGGTAAGTCAATATACAACTTTTTTGTTCTTCTTTAATACACATGCTGTAAAGAGTCAATGCTTACTATAATGTCTCACTCAACGGAACAAAACCATACAGTTGATGAAACCTACTAGACTTTAAATATACAAGAGTTTAAATAATAATCTTAAGGAGATTTTTAAACTATTTTACATACATCCACAAAATAATAATTATATTTATTGATGACAAAGACAATATATTGTTAATTTTTGGCACGTTTTGTGAGGTTTTCCATCGTAGGACATTATTGACCAACATAATTTAATTTGTATTTAAAATGCAATATAAAATTAAGGAGACGTGGAAAGATTGTCATTGAGATAACTACCCATAGACCTAAGAACAAAGATGTAATCAATTACATGTAACGTAAAGTACATAGCTTTTCTTTGGTCAGATTTTTGGTTTTAGTTAAGAAAGTCCTCCTAAAGCAGTTAAGCGACAACAACTCAAAAATATACCAAAATCAATCAAAATTGTAGTTTTAGACCAACTTAAAGTATTAATAATTGGTCACTTGACCAGAGATACACCATATCTACATTTTGATACCTTTATTCACTCCTCCCTCTTTTTTTTTGGAAATAGATATATCAGATTTTTGTCTTGGTTTTGAAAATTTTGAAAAAAAACGAAATGATTTACTGCTCTGGTAAATTTTGCTTTGTCAGTTTTAATTACTTGACAGAAAATTCCCCATCTTTCAATCTACCTTGATCGATTTTGACATACACGAATAGGATTTTCAAAATATTTCTGATAATTAGTTTTGATTGCCATTCATTATACGAACAAAATGATAATTGATTCTTTAACAATTATAAACACCTTAACAGTAATTTGGAACAACCAAGATATTAAGGTATCATTGTATGAAGATCGCAACAAAGATATTAAGAAATTAATGTATGAAGATCGCACTACTAAACTTCATAATTGTGATAATAGGGATATAACCAATAAAACAAGACGTCGAAAACTGAATCTTGGTTGTTTAAAATGATGTTCACAACAATGGTTACAAAATAGCAGCAAGATACCTCAAACTTAAAGTATAAATACAGATTAACTCTTATAATTTTCAGATCGTCTTCCCCGTAGCAGTGATTCGTTTGCAAGTGAAATGACATGCATTTTGTATTCGCCTTCAAGTAAGTCATTACATGAATGAAATTAAAAAAAAACTATCTTTTTTATGTATGCCTTAAGCAGACTGCAAAGCTATATATATCAAAGCGTAATTACCAATAAAGGAAAGGTTAACGTAAGTGAATTTCTGTATGGTTTTCAGAATCAATATGGTATCAAATCCCGAGAAAACGTCTAAAATGTAACATACAAAATCTTTCGCTTCAAAAGAAAACCAGAAACAATGTATCTGTCTAAATATCTTCATTAATTTTAATGCTTTTATGTAATAGGCGTTTAACTTCCATATTGACAATTAGCCAGGATTTATTTTCAATTTGCACTCTGAAACTCTTGGAATGGAAGGTCTGGTATCCATTAAGTGCTTTCGGCATTGTTATCAAAACACTTGCACTGCTGCGTCAATTTACTCATATGAAAATTTCTAATAAAAAAAAATTTAGTAAAATACCGGGCCGGTATGAAAAAGATCGTATATATAGACCATTATAGTGTATTGACTTGTCATAATAACGATATGATTTAAAGCTAAGGCTAAGAAACGGGGAAAATGCGAGGCTCTGCCAAGACTACACTTTTGTTGTCTTTATAATGCAATCTTAAACAATTTTATACATGTTTTGTGTTATCATTTTGTTTTTTTTTGTTTTTTCTTAAAACTGTTTTTGACTAAGTAAAATTGTGTGTGTTGCTGAATGAGCCAGTCGAACGGCTGCGGTCGATTTCGGAACAGAATACCACCAATAAGCAATGGGCGTGATAATTTATACAATTTATGAACAAATAAAGGACAAAAACAACACACATTCATAAACGTAATTAGAAACATTGCAATTCCTTGGACTTCTTCCATCCAGCTCTAGAACCCTTGCCTTCAGTGGGGCGTCCACTTTGGCTGTTAACTGTTAATTTGTTTTTGTCATGAATATGCATGAAATATTTCACACTGGACGTTAAGCAAACAACAACCAATCAATCAAACAATCAGTTTCTTGTTATTAACATAAACCACGACTCGAAAAGTGTTTGGCCCATTTGCAATCAGGAAATCTATAACTATATATTAATAAGGTCCTCGGGATAGTGTCGAAAGGAGCAATATTCCTCTCTTTTTCATCGGCAAATGTTATTAAAAAGGATAACATGAATTTGAAACTGAAGGTGCAGCCTTTTATATAACTGTTAAGGAGGCCCAATATTGAGAGACATGGTTTTCCGTCATGTGTTGTTGTCTTGTACTAGGGATGGAACATCCATATTCATCGCCACTGTATGATAAGGTCATATAAACATATGATGTCTTGCTTTTTACTAAACTGATGAATATAGTCGAAGTTTTGTTAGCTGGATATGAAATAGGGGTTGTAATCAGTACTTTGGATTTACTCTTAAATGTTGCATGCTTGTTTGAAAAGCAGAAAACAAGAGATTTTGAGTCTTAATTTTGAATTGACCGGTGATCGAACCACTAAATTCTCGGGAGATGGAAACATCTATGACACAAGTGTATACTAAAACGCATGAAATACTAATGGCATCATCACGACATTTATGTTGATCTAATACTAACTGTCACGTGCACTTTTTTGTCATATTCTGCATATTATGACGTCAGACCACTTGTATGATATGTCTCTCCCAATTCTTAATGAAATAACCCCATCTGTGTTATTGATAGATTATGTGAATGGTCAAATATTGACAACTGTAGGACTGCATATTCGTGGTCACTGGAAAGGAAAAATTATCTGTAACGAAGAGGACAATATACCGACGCCACTGTGTTGTCATGGCGTCAATGTAAGTTTCTAAAATATCATTTTAAATAAGGTTTTGTTTGATCTTCTCAGCTAATTACTAGGACATGTATATGCTTATCGCCTCTTCTGTTGGTCCATTTTCACTGCTGATTTCCGTATAAATGGAAGGAAATATTGCCCATATGTGTAATAATAACTAATAGATGTGGTGTAAACGTAAGTGAGACAGGAACCAATACAAACAAAATCTAAAGACATTTAAGAGTCTGTAAGTAGTCCTTTTTTGAAAATATTTTGACAAAAATATTGATTTTTTGCAAAATATCTTGTTATTGATATTAAGTTTGCCATTTTTCGTCAATTCTGTTTCTTTGTATCTCATCAAGATCATTAAATCCACAATTGCTTGTACAAAAAGAGCTTTCGTTTCCTAAACACTTAGATAAACCAAACAAAATTGTGTAAATGCCTTTAAAAGTCTTTCTTGAGTAAAGCAACATTGTACAAATTAGATAATTGACCACCAAATGCTGAAACCTTTTATTTTTATTATATATTATTAGCTCCACGCTAATTGAGATAGTACAAGATGTAAAGGAATACCTCAAGCAATTCCATATTGTCTGAAACTTTATTTCCACGGAAAGTAAATGTGAATGATGACGATATTTACTGCAGGCATTGAAGTGTACTTTGATAACACGTCTGACATTCATCTTGTTAACCAACACCAATTACTACACTCAAATCAAATTATAAAACAAATACATACTTAACACCTGCATAACCGTCTGATCAAAGTTATCATAATCATTTCATTTCAGGAAACAACGAGAAAAAATTTCTAACCGATTTAAAATTAAACGGATAGTTATAAATCTAAATATGATAACATGAATAAAAGTTTTAAAACAGAAAGAACAAACTAAGTTCTCCTGAATTTGACAGTAGTTTCAAAGCACCATACTTTTTACTGGGTATTTATAAAAAAATATTTAGAAATTTGAGATGACCTTTTTTTACTAAAGTGAGTAGACATGAAAAAGGGATGAAAATTTGCTTTGTTTACTTCCGGTGCAATTTTTTTTTTTTTTTTTTTTTTGTGCTATAAAAGGTTCAGTAAAATTTTCACTGTAATTCTGGACAAGAATAAACTTTCTTCATGCCAAGTATTCTTTTATTTAAAACAAAAGTAAATTCTGCACATATTTTTTCAAAAATGACAATTTAGCAAAGACTGATGGGGGAAAGCAATGGTTGTATTACCCCTACAAGTAGACATGAGATACACGTCAATGAGACAACAACCCAGCAAAATCTAAAACCATAACATATACCGATTTAAGCTACACACAATGCTGGGAAATATGCTGAGTTATGCAAGTAAACTTTAAAAGAAACTGATTGGACAATCTAAAGTAAAAGCATAGAAAGCGAGACTCATGCAACACTATAGTAGGATCATTGAACATCTCACAGTTATTGATACTACGTGTATAAATTTTCAATAGTTTTGAAAAACATAAATTGTTATTTAGCTATTCAAATCTTATGGTCCAGTACCCTGTCGATACTTTTATTTTGCCATTGTTTTGGATAAAGGTTTTTCAAGACTTCATAGTTTGTTAACATCTACTCCGATTGAGGTGTATGGATAACTTTTTTAATCTAAAAGTACAGTTGAAATTGGGCTTCAAACTAGCTTTCAGTTACTTCGAGTACTCTTGAATCTTTTTTTTTTTTCATTTTGTTAGCTGTTTTCTGCTTAGTAGGCCTATCTGGTGAGTAAATATAGAAATAAAAAAATGTGGTATGATTGCCAATGAAACACCTCTCCACCAGACCAAATGAGGTATAAGTTAGCCACTATTGGTCACCGTACGGCCTTCAACAATGAGCAAAAACCACACCGCATAGCAAGCTATAAAAGTCCTCGAAATGACAAATGTAAAACAATTCAAACGAGAAAATTACGACCTGATTATGTACAAAACAATAAACGAAAAACAAATATGATATACAGCAATAAACGACAACTACTGAATTACAGGCTCTTGACCTTGGACGGGCACATAAGAATGTGACGGGGTTAAACATGTTTGCAGGCACCCAATCCTTCTCCCCTTAACCTTGGACAATTGTGTAACAACACAACACAAGAACAAACTATAAAAATCAGTTGAAAAGGGCTTAACTCATCAGATCGATACAAAGAAAAACAAAACAACTAGCAAAAACACAAAAGACACCAAGTACTGATCTGAGAGTACTCGTAATTACCGAAAGCTAGTTCAAAGCCAATAACAAGTAAAAAAACTTTTTCAACTGATTTATACGCTTTATTCCTAGGTTGTGTTGTAACACCACTGTCAAAGGTTCAATATAAATAAAAAGATGTGGTATGAGTGCCAATGAGACAACTATCCATCCAAGTCACAATGTGTACAAAGTAAACAATTATAGGTCAAAGTACGGCCTTCAGCACGGAGCCTTGAGTCACACCGAACAGCAAGCTATAAAGGGCCCCAAAAAAACTAGTGTAAAACAATTCAAACAGGAAAACCAACGGTCTAATCTATATAAAAAACGAGAAACACTTATGAACCACACCAACAAACCACAACCACTGAACAACAGGCTCCTGACTTAGGACAGTTGCATAAAAATGCAGCGGGTTTAATCGTTTTAACAGGCACCAACCTTCACCTTAACCTGAAACAGTGGTATAACATTACAACATAAACAGACACACAATAAAATATCAATTGAAATGGTTTAACTCGATCAAAAAGACAATACACAAAAACAAGTAAATATACACTGAACGAATAAGTTTGATCTATGACACAATATAAATAAAAAAGATGTTTCAATGTCAAAAAGACAACTTTAACCTAGGACAAAATGGTGTAACGTACACAGGTAAGTTTAAATATAATTATTTTGTTGTTATGAGTGCAGAAACATTTTTTACAAAATAAATTTGTTATTCATAGTACGAGTACAGAAGTGAAAATTCTTTTGTCATACTAAATACTTATCAAAGGTGTTACATATTAAAAATAGTAAGACGAGATATACCACAAAATTTGTAAACATTGGATAACAGAAATGCATTACAAATTGTTTCAACAGGTCAAATTAACATGAGAGTACGATTTGAGAGTATTCGCAGTTACTGAAAGACAGTCAAAGAAGACATGACTTGTGCAATGCCAAAATAAAAGTAACGACAGGCAGTAGGATAGTTAGGGTTTAACCTTATAATAAATATGTATGATGTTATGTATAGATAAAACAATTTCTAAATAGAAAATAAACGTGGATGTGTATATATACATCCCAAAAAAACATTCGAAAAGAATACAAATTTAGTTATGTTTTAATTAGTTGATGACAAAATCGATGTTAGTGCCAATGAAAACAATATTCAAAGATCTTATTACAACATTAATAAGATAGCCTTTACTAATAAGTTTGTTTAAAGGTTCGATAAGTCTATAATCCAGTGGTTGTCGTTGGTTTCCTTCTGTCATAATTGTTCCTTTGATGCAATTAGCTTAAACCAGGCCGTTAGCATTCTTTTATTTTCTTTTTCATTTTGATATAGCTTTCTATACGGTATGGGTTTTTTTTTCTCATTATTGAAATCCGCCCAATGACCTGTTCTTTTCTGCATTCTTGTCCTTTTGTTGTTGTTGGATCGTTATCTAATTGGCAATCATATCTCATCTCCTTATTTTATTTGCTTTAGCATATTTTATGAGCTGAGAAATATATACTCCTTAATCAGGTGTTGAAATGTATAATCAAGGTAATCTCTGTTATCGTACAAATAGTTAATAACAAGACTCATAACCAAATTTGTGTAGTCAGAGAGCTGCATTAGTGTACACATCTGATTAGAGTTATTCTTGAAACACATATAAGCATCGTCCTTTTTTTAGTACCTGTGTATTTTGCTCTTGAAAAGAGCATACATGCAAGTCTTAAAAACAACAGAAACGAGCTTTACTCTTCAGGTCGATACTGAACTCAAAAACAGCTAGCAAAAAAGACCGACATATGAGTACCTGCAGTTACTGACATTTAGTTCAAAGCCAAGCATAGTTCTCTTATATACATTTTACCTACATTTCCTTTCCTTTAAAAACTGAGATTAAGAATGTTAGGTCTAAGAAATTGACGAATAACTTAAGATAAATGAGTATTTTTAAGATCATCTTTTGTTGATAATGATAATCGTTTATACAAGGATTACAAAGAGAATTGTTGCCGTGTTGAAATTATTTGCCACTACCCTCATCACGCTATGCACTGACAGTTATACATCTGAAGTTTAAGATTACTGAACATTTGAACTTGATAATGCGGTCATTTATTAATTCCGGTCCATTTCCGACGTGTACGTTTATGTATAACTGTTTAGTATTAGAAATTTCTTCCATTTCCTCTACAAATTGCTTTCCAAAGACTCCTGGCTCTTTGTATAATTTAGTGCTTCAGGAAATTTAAGAAGATGAATCATCGTGTTGAGAAAGAATAACCTTTTAAGATGTTTAACGGTAATTTGTTGGATAAGATGGTGGTTTTAATTGATTTATTTCAAATTAAGATGCATGTTTGTTTTTGCAACGTTATTTTCCAAAGCAGGCATGTCATTTATGATATCTATAATTAAACATCAGTATTTCCAACTTGAAAACAAACCGACCAAATGTTTCTATTACGTCCTTGAATATATCTGTTGTAATGGATATTCAACAAACTTCATTTCTAAGGTTGATGATGATTGAATACAAGATGTTGGTATACGTCAATCCAACAACACACATCACGAAAGGTCAATATACGTTTTACAACAATAGACAAATGTCTATACAATATGTTGAGCTCTTACTAAATCGCCCCGAGTCTAGAACATTTGTTATCAAAACAGTCATATTAAAAAAATACACACGACAGTTTGAAAATGGATTAAATGTGGTATCCATAAAATATTTTTTTGTCATTTGAAATTAGTGGAAATCTTTTTCATTTCTCAAAAGGCTAGTATGGCTGTGATAGCATACAAAAATAATATTAAAACAAAACATATGTAACATGAAGAATAATATTTGTAATAATGTACAATAACATATATTGATAATTTAATAAAAAATGGGACATTTTTATCAAGACTATCTCTGATGAGAGGTTTCCCGATTTGCTACCGTACCCACTTTAGTATGAACTGGGAGCCGTCATTAATCTTTTGAAAATAATTGATGTATTCACTGAATGTCAACGTGTCTTATGAATCATTATCAGAAGTATTTGGAGGATTTTTAACTGCAATTTTGATTCAATTTCACGTGGATATATTAAAAAAATATTATGTGTACTCGATTATGCTTTCAATCAACCGATGCAAGTAACCGAAGCACGAACGGTTTGTAATTTATATTTATTCCCCCTGAAATCGCAACGGCTAAACCAAGCTAAAACAAAACATAAATCACATCTATAATTTATCTGATTTTTACCTGTTATATTATTATAACATTATAAAATAAAACAGTTTAGATTTTTTTTTGGTAAGCTTTTAGAAAACACGAATAAGCAAGAACCCTGTAAACATACAAAATTAACCTCATTGATAATGTATTAATGATGAAATAAGAACAAAAAACTATTATATGAAGCCGACTTTGCAAGTGTATCAAAAATTGTCAAAAATATAGTGAAACATAATAATACCATATAGCTGATCAAAGTTTTTAAATGATCAATATCAATATACAATTAAATATTGAAATATTGTCACTTATTTACGTAGTTCATGTAATATCTTTACCATACTTACATTTTTCTGCATGTTCACTAAAATCGTCTAACATATGCATGAGAAATTTTTTCAATTATTAAAATACGAAGAAAGGGTCAAATTAGAAGTTTCTTCGTACTTTTATAATTGGAAAAATCCTCGTACATATGTAAGACGATTGTATTGAACATGCCGAAAAATAATAAACCATTTCAATTTAAGAAAACGAGTGTCAAGGCAATTAACCATAACTATATGAGAATTGTTCTAGTTTTTTTTTTATTCAATGATTCTAGACATTCAATTTGGTGGGAATTTTTTTATCGGCAATAGAAAAGTACATATTTATATTTCAATATTTTTTCAGTTTAACTTTTTTTTTTTAATTTCTAGAAAAAAATCTACAGTTGTTGATTAAAAAAAGGGAGAGAAGGTTTTCCTTTTCTTTGTACATATTGAAAGAGAAAAATCGGCACACAGGAATTAGGTATTTGACAGAATAGAGTTGCAACTCATTGATGTTAAGTTACTGACCAAATACGAAGTCTTTTTGTAAAGTAGTTTCTCAGATAAGAAACAAAATATTTGTTGGACCGGACAAACAATGTGGTTGCACTCACTCCTAGATTGAAGGTATAATACAGACAAGTAATTCAATGATTATATGTACCGTAATGAAAAAAAATAGCCTGAAGACAAGCTTGGGTAACTTATCTATTGATACAGAATCATTAAATTTCATGCTCTAATATCGACTGCTGTATGAAATGTTATACTACACTGTAATGGACTAAGCTGACCCGATTTAATGTGGGTATGATTTTGTGTTCATGTAATGCCTATAGAGTAGGTCGTTAGTTTTCTTGTTTGAATTATTTCACATTTTCATGTCGGGGCTTTTTAAAGCTGACTATACGGTGTGGCTTTTTCTTTTTTTTTTTGTGTTGAATGCCGTAGGGTGACCTTTAATAGCGTTTATCTTCGTCATTTTAACTATGTTGATAGTTGTTTCTTTTGCAATCATACCAAATGTCCTTATTTTTATATAACGCCCCGTTTGCCAATAAAAATTAAGGTTTATTGCTTTTATTGAAAAAACAAGCGCATGGACCCCCAGTTTTTTCTTTTGCAATCGATCAAATTCTGTTTCAAGAACGCTCCGCCAAAATTTTAAGAAAAATTCAACGATAGAATTTTTTCTGCACTTCTGTGTAGACGTAAAAATATTTTCAGCTTCTTTATTTCACTTGTATTAAAAGAATTTAGGATATAATTATTTATTTCAACCGTTAACTTGTTACAGCATGCTGATGGCATGGATCAAGGGAACATTTTACAAAAAACAGGTTAAATTATGACTTTTCGTTCAAAAGTATTGGTACTTTCCTTAAAAGTCCTTATTTATGAAATTTCAGGGTTTTTCCTTCAAATATGCAAATTTCGAACCAAATTATCGCAAAAAGTAAGTCATGAAGGTATATTTTTCTTTGCATATTTCAAAAGTACACATCGAAATTGACATTCTACCAAAATTAAAAGAAAAAATCAACGAGGATCTCTACCGTATCGTATGCCCTTAAGAACATTTGAGATACGAACGAGAAAGGATCTCACATTGATTAGATAAATTTCTTTGAAATAAATACTCCGTCACATTTTTCTTTAAACGATAATTTTGATCAAACGGTAATACAAGGTTTAAATGTAAATTTCATGACGCGTTTTATTTATTATTTGTTATTTTGCTATATCAGACAGATGAGACCTTACACGATTCTCTGTGTCCTGTCTTCATTAAAAGGAGTGTGCTTCTTACATAAAAAAAAAATTACAAACAGAGTTTTGAGGAAGAACGACTTCAGACGACACTACATTAGTCTTACGGTCATCATCACGAATTGGTTGACGAATATGATGTGTCGGTGTCTCAACTCACTAGCGACATGTTTTCGAGATTTTAGCTCTTTAGATACCAGTATAATCGTCTCATCTGAGCTTTACCGATTGTGTCTTATTCCCAATTGTGATATTTTGACTGAGTGCGAATGGCGGGTGATTCATGCATAACATGAGATGCTTACCCTGTCAACACAAGCCGTCTCGCTCCTTTTTGAGTTCATGCGATTCCACCAGTGTTTGTTTGATATCTTGATTTGTCTCTTCCTAATCGATTTACGAGGTTTGAACATCAGTAAACTACTGTCGCCTTAATTTAAGCCCTTTTTTCCAGAGCGGTTTATAATCCTCGCTTTCCAAAATGTATGTCTCGAGTGCATCTGATGAGAGTTATTATAAAAACACTTGTTTTGCTCATGGAAGCTGCTAAGTTAAGTTGCAACATAATTTGCAAAAGCTAAAAATCTGTAAAATAAAAGAAGCTGCTAAGTTAATTTGCAACATAATTTCCAAAAGCTAAAAACCTTAAAAAAAAGAACACCAAATCACTTCAGGGCTTTATAGTTTTAAAGATCACTTTACTGATGACAATTTAACATAGCATAAAAGTCGCATATACATCTCAAATTCTATATATGATTGCATAAGAATATTCCACGACATCAAACAACATTTAAGTTTGCTCAATTTTGCTTTGAATGAATAACGTAATTTAGCTCAGAGCTTTTAAAATGATATTGGTTTCACGTTTTTTTACCAGAAATCTAACTACTGTTAAGTAACAATTTATGCTTTTTTTCAGGTAAGATATGGTGAATACATGGAAGTGATACAGACATTATGTCAAGTCATAGACAGAGATCTGTTATTTGAATTCATGTTTTCACTGAAACCAATCATAATCCTTGTGTTTGCAGGTGTCATTTGGTTGGTACTGTTTTTATTCGTTATGGTGTATATTCGGGATGAACCGCGACAGAGTAAGTATAACTAAACTATATGTTTTATCCCTCAATCTTGTAAACACTCCCCAAAAACTTGCAATACATGATGGATATTTAGCTTTGTTAGCAAAACAGATTGAAAACAAAATCCCTGATACTTGTTGTTTGTTAAACACATACTTAAGTATCGCTGCATGAATGGACTTTTCAATAAAAAAAAATCCTTTTTCGTTTGAGCATTTGTATCATGTACGATGCATTTTGTTATGTGCAACAATTGCGACCTTTAATAGCAGATTTGTTCCTGTATTTTTACGAAACACGGTTTATGGCAAAAACTCAAAAAATATTCGTTTCAATTTATTTAATAAAAAACAATATTAAGACTTACCTTTATCTTCTTTTTGTTACCTTGAGTTGTCTCTGTTTTTTTAATTTGGTTTTTGTTACCTTGAGTTGTCTTTGTTTTTTAATTTGGTTTTTGTTACCTTTACCATGAAGTTGTATTTGCTTAAAAAAATTAAGAATTACCTGAAAATAATGTTTGATTTCTTTCATTTGTGACCATCTGTGTACATGGAAAGTGTTTTGGAGTAACTTTTGTCATGAACTCGCGAGATCAAAAGTTTGGGATTTAAGTGGTTCACAAGTTAAGTAGAACATTTGGGAACAGGAACTAGTCAATGAGACTAACATAATGTCGTTGTAAGTTGTCAGCGAACATCATATTTGATATATGATAATTCAAATTGACTTCAAGTTTACATTTTCATATACCACATATCATGTCTTTTCATGAATCACTCGACCAGTCTGATTTGATAAGATGTACTTGAACTGCTTTGTATATGGATAGACGTACTATCAAAGAGAAATAGTACTACTGATTTCTATTGGTTTAATTTATGTCCATATTTAAATGCTTTACAATTTTTTTAAACACGGTAAAAAAAAGTAAGTGTTTTCAATTAAATTCTAACGAAAAAAGATGAGAAGTATTAATAACGTTTAACTGATTCTAAAACAAAGGAAATGCTATTGTTCGAGAACATGTCTATTTCTTAAGTATTGAAGTTAAATCGTCATTAACGTGACGTTAATGTCCTGTAAAATATTAAACCAACGGTCAATAGATCCCTGCAGGTAAATCAGTCGAAAACTTTTAATTTTGGCTTGCCACTATACATTTACAAACAATAATAAGATATGATTCTTGGCTTTCACATATTCGGCATCGAGCGTTCCTGATGAAGGTAAATCCAGAAAAACGCTTCGGATGCATAAAATTTATAAAGTGTGGTTTTCATTTTTTTTTTAGAACAATTAAAATGTTAAAGGCATAACAAAATTGATAATTATCGATGTCTTTAAAAAATAACATGGTGTCAATGAAATGTCAGAAAAACAACAACAAAACAACATTTTGTAGACATTACTGTTTGAAATCCTTTACTGTCAGTAATTGTGTTCGGTGAATATTATTCCCAGGTCGGATCAAATATTTATGGTCTTATTTATCACTTTCAGACTGTTTAATTTCCGATAAATTGCATTAAAACTGTTTTTATAAGGTTAAATCATAGCACACCAATTACCAGATATCTCATGATCATTGTATTTTAACTAGTTGATATTCTGTTGTTAAGTTGGTTTGAAGAGAACACTTATTTTGATTTATATCAATGATTCTATCGTGATTCGTTATAGTTTGGTGTTCAGTGATGGACAGTTATTTTTCAACGAAACATAAATATATTTGTGTGAATGTAGATCTGTCTTAAACAATTGTTTATAGTTTTAGCGTTGGCCGCAAATGTTTTCGTGTATTTTTATAAAGTTTCAGCTGTTACTTTACGCTTATTTCACAAAAAAGTACCGATGCATGTCCCTCGTGCAATGTATATGGTTTCCTTTCATTCTTTTGTGACGATTTAAATATACCTAGAGGTCTCTCAACTTTCAGCCTTGAGCATTACTGGTGATGGCTAATCTGGTCATTAGATTTAAGCATATAACCTCTTAACTTAAAAAAGAACATGGAGATACAAAAGGGATATTAAAAGTCGTATGTCGAAGACAAACACACAACACTTTGGCAAAAAAAAAAGGAAAAGACACAACAGTCTACAAAACACAACAAAGAAAACTAGAAACTGCACAACACGAACCCAACTAAAAACCGGGGGGGGATCTTAGGTGCTTTTTAAGCCAAGAGTAGGCAACTCCAGATGTGGCACCTTTTGTTTATCGATTATATTTCTTACGTTTTCTGCCTTTATGAGAGATATTAGGATAATAAAGTTTACTATATAATTTACTGACGTTTAAATATTATAAATTCATTAGGAAGATACAAATCAAAATAAAAACAAAAGCTGAGGGAGTTGCACGAACTTCAAAAGGAGCAAAAGACATGGTAACGGTGTATTGCTTGCATCACCCACCTTGCGAATCAACATTCAATCAAAATGTCATATTCAGGAATTTGACATAAATTATTCTTATATCTAAATATCTAATTCTGCGTAAACGTGCCGCTAATGTTGAGACACAGAAAAATCGTCTTGATCAATCATTCATGGTGTTGACCGTAAACGTATGTAGTGTAGATTTGAGCCGTTCTAATTTCTCATTACTCTGTGAGCAGTTTTTGTATCAGGAGAAAAAAGTAAAATAACAGCCCTGGTAATGAAGTCCATGTTGTGTGGACATGCACGAGTATAACGTTTTAATTGAGATATGTAAACGACATATGACGGAACAGAGGGTATGCTTTTTTTTTGTTTGTTTTTATAGTGATTAAGATGATAACATAATGTTGACTGCTGTACCCCTATTTTTGACATTTTTACCTATTGTGTCTGTTTGTTTTGTTCACGCATCGTTGTCAATATAATGGAATTTGATGCGACTGTCATACAAGTGAAAGGTTTAGCTAGCTATAAAACCAGGTACAATCCACCATTTTCTACATAAGAAAATGCCTGTACCAAGTCAGGAATATGACAGTTGTTATCCATTCGTTTGATGTGTTTGAGCTTTTGATTTTGCCATTTGATAAGGGACTTTCCTTTTAGAATTTTCCTCGGAGTTCAGTATTTTTGTGATTTTACTTTTTATGCCACTACTGATAAATAGGGAGTTTATAATTCGAAAGTTGAAATGATCTCGTTTGTCATAGATTCTAGTTCGAAGTCGTCCATCTGTCCTAATACTAAAGAAAAGAATAAACTATGAAACTGATCATCTAGTTTCGGTACTATCCTTAAGAGTAAGTTCACTGGGATATATGAGATGCAAGCACTCACTGAAATGAAGGTTATTGAGTGACAGGACATCGTCAGTATGTCTAAAATGAAATTAAAGAAATTTGCAAGAATCATTTTCTTTTTGACTTCGAGAAGGTTCTATATGAATCCAGCTCCATATGAGTACAAATACAAGTCGGTCAGTAGGTGTGCACAATTAGTACCCATACGAATACCGACTGTCTGTTAAAATATCTTTTACCCATCTAAATAAACTCATTAGGTAATACTCCAGTATTAAAATGATTCCAGTGATATATTTGACTGTATATTTTCAGATCAAATAATGTAATTAAATCAGTAGTTAGGACTTCAAAATTAACATGATTTCATTGATATATTTGACGATATATTTTCAGATAGACTAATGTAATTAAACAGTAGTTAGTACTTCAGTATTAACATGATTTTAATGATATATTTGACTGTATTTTTTCAGATAAAATAATGTTACTAAATCAGTAGTTAGTACTCCTGTATTAACATGATTTCATTGATTTATTTGACAGTATATTTTCAGATAAAATAATGTAATTAAATCAGTAGTTAGTACTCCAGTATTAACATGATTTCATTCACATATTTGACTGTATATTTCTGATAAAATAATGTTATTGTACTTTTTCAAGGTTTCAACTCATCAGGAAAAGCTTACCTTTCTTGGTTTCCGCTATTCTCTGCTCGATCTCGACCCTGTTGATATAAGATAACATAAAAATAAAGGCAACATAAAAAATACTTTTAATGTCTCGAAGCATCAAAACCAAAATGAACTACAAGGGGTTACCAATAATCTTTGATCCTCTTAATATTCTTCGTTTAAGTAAATTTGCATAGTTATGAATTAAGAGTTTTAGATAAAATTGTATGATTTGAAGCACTCGCAACTGGACCTTATGACTAGCGTTCTCCAGTTCAGATGGGACATAAGACATATTTGATGTGAAACAAGCATCAGGTTTACATGTACCTTTTGCACAAGTTTTATGGTTTTAGTTTTTCTTACACAGTACGTATTATATTCTCAGTTTTCATCTGTATTTCAGGTGTATTGATAGTTTGTACCTACATTTCAAATGCTTTGAGTTTCAGGTTGATAGATTTTACTTACATTTCACATGCTTAAAGCATCAGGTAGATACTTTCTTCTTTTTCAGTTTCAGTATTATGTTGGTAGTTTCTACTTATATTTCAGGTGCCTTAGGAATCAGATTGATAGTTTTTACCATCCCATTGTTGTTTGTTTTGTACGGTTATGGTCTCAGATGGAAACGCCAGCTATTGCATAAAAAGGTATAAATAGATCAATTGTAGATTCTAGATTAGCAGCCAGTACGTTTAAGTCATGTAAAGTTCGCCTCATTTTCGTATGAAGAGAGCGTGCATTGAAATAATGTTTTGAAGCATGTTTCTAAATTATCCGTTACGGCTTTCAGAAAAAAGTATGGTTGTATTGTATGCTTTATCTTATTTCAAAGTATATGTTTTTGTTATTGTTTTGTCTTTAAATGTTTTTCACAGTTTAAAGGAGCATTAGCTAAGATTTCGACAGTAGAAGTTCATAAAAGTATTTCACAGTGTTTTAAACTTCTACAAAAACGGAATGTAGATTAGTTCTCCGTTATAGGCAGTCAGTCTTGTTCAACCCTAGAGACTTCACTATTACATAATTGACTAGCGAGACGATAATTCAACCTTATTTAGACCCATCAGAATGCGGCCTGTGATTTGATAGCAGTTGGAGATTAGTGCGCGTATGCTTAGTTCAGTTATAACAAAATGTCAGGAAGACCAATTTTGTTGACTGATTCGAATCATTCTTATATTGGTTACAGGTGAAACGAATGATGTAAAATGTGCATTTTGTTTTTATCCATGATATGAAATTTAACAGAAAAATCGTCATTACACGTGCTATTTATATTTATCTGTTTATATATGTGTTAAATGTCTACAATCTTCGGGAGGGAACGTCGTTGGTTCATAAGTTGGCGTTCAGTTCCGAAATGTTGATTCTTTTTTTACGTTGTTTTCTTTGGGACTTTTGTCATTTTGACAAACGCCTTAATATTTTACAAATAAATTTCCAGTCAAAACGTCGGACTTGAATTTGTCAGCTAATGCTACTTTAAGTATGTTTTTTTTTATTTGAAAAGGTCGTTCATGTGTCTGTTATCAGGAAAAACATGTTCATAATCGATTAAAAATCAAATATTGACATGTTTATGTATATGCGAAGACATACAAAATAACCATAATAAAGATGCGTAGAAATGCATATCAGGGTGTTATACGAGGATAAATAAGAAAATATACATTTTAATTAAACCCGATATCAACTATGTAAGTATTTTTTTTTTATTAAAATACTAATTTAGGCAAGAAGAAGTAAAAAAATTAAGATTTTGTAATTTGAATTTTATTTAGAATGCCAAACGCGTTTGTCACAGTGGGTATTACCAGTCCAGTAGTCAGCATTTAGGTGCTGACATGAAATATCTCTGGTGCGGTTTTTTATTTTGTATGTTTTACTTTCTTTTCAATACTCTTCAAATTTGAATTTTTGTAATTGATTTGGGTTACCACGAAATCATGTCATGCAGGTTCATAGTATTGAGTAACCTGTAAGGTATAGGTAGTTTGAATTTTATTCATCGATATCATTAATAAAAATATAACAGGAAATACATAGAATACTGGACAGTGCAATAGGCCACAACAAAAAAATTAAATACGATTTTGATATAGTCAGCAGATAGCTTATCTGTAACGAACAACCTCTTTTTTTCTTTTTGTTTAAGTTTCATTGAATTGTCAAAGATGCTTCATACACATTCCGTAGGAGTAAATATTGATACGATGTTGACAGATGTTGTAAAAAAATAACTTTTGTTTGCGTCATCGTCTTATGAGGTTTACATTTGACTAAAAATACGTTTAAAACCCTATTAGGCATTAACAAATGATTTTAGACATCAGTAATTGACGTCATTGTTTATACTATTTGCATGTTAAACTATTTTTTTCTCATAACTTATTAAATTTGTGAGAGGTTGGGATACTCACTACCAGTGATTGTAATATTTAATAAAATATATTTTGTAAGATGATCTCAAGTGCTGCACTTAAACACTCATTAAAGATAGCAAAAACACGATATAAAGGCATTTATCTGGCTCTATACAAAATTGTTTAGAAAATCTATGCGAATTGTTCTAACTGTTAAATGTTATGTTTCTAAGTAATGCCGTATAATCTTTGGCAATTATTGGTTATTATTGATTGTGTAGATTTACGACATAACTTGGCATTCCATCGACTGCGTTTTTCATTATTCGTGAGATAGCTGTTGACACTAATAGTCTATTATATCCTACAGAGTAATTTGACTAATCGTGTTCTTTGGAGTCTAGTTTTCATCCTTTATTGTTAAGACATTAACGCTTATCAAAATCATTTCACTTCTTGTAACATTTCATACCCAAGTGGTTTTAAGCTTCTTAGGAATCTTAACGCCTCTGATTTCTATAGGAAACATTCTCCACAGAAGCTGATATTCCTTAAAGCGTTATCAATTTCAATTTACGTTGTTGCAGTCCTAATGAAATAAATCCCCATTCAGCTATTGTGTAATTTTTACGTGATAGATTTACTGGCAATATGAAGTATGCGTAATTCCTCAGGGCAATAAATCAGGCAACTTATTCATTATAAGCGTTCTTATTTCAAACGGATTTTTAATACTACTTTGCTAAACATTGTACAGACTTGTATTTCCTAAATATTTTCCATCAATGTTTTTTTTAGATATGTCGTCGAATGATGAGATGCTGTATAGATCTGAATGGGAAGTTTTATCGAGCTGAAAAACCAGTTTTACTGACCATTGTAGTTTGTAAAGATGGATCTTTTAATGTATCCTTTTTGGAGATGTCTCATTTGTCATTTTTACCCATATACTTTAAAATCCTTCTCCCGAATTGTTTGTTTTTTATTCTTACAGAAGAATAAATATTCAAGTTTTTTAGGAAGTTGGGACAACTTTTTTTTTTTTAATTTATATACAAGTCTAAATTGAAAACAACGTTCATACAAGTCTAAATTGATAACAACAATCAAACCTATGATTGCGTTGGATAAAAACCGCAATTTTTATACGTGTGTATGTAAAACAAATTTCTTGGTAGAGGGGTATAAATACAGCACAAACAACATTTTCCAAAAGACCAAAAAGTGAAAAAGTATATTTTAACAAAACGCATTTGACTAACAGGTAGAACAACGGATGTTCTTAAACCCTGTTGACTGCCATTGGCGATTGCCAAATAAATGTATCACCAGATGTAAGAAAATGGATCTTTATATTAATTTAATACCAAACAGAAAACAATAAACTTGCGGAAAAGATGAAATACCACAAACATGAGGTGCAAAAATTTGTACACCATATCCGGATTTCGACAATAAATGTTTCTTCAGTGATGTTAGGGATCGAAACGGTATTTGGAAGTATATATATTAAAGTGAAAGATATGTAAGGTATATAAATCGGCTATTTTTATGTGAATTATTTATATTCAACCCACAATAAGTTAAGCTGATTGTTTAAAAACTAGTAAGATACTGAATGGGGAAATTAAAATCACAGGGCTTGTTTATAGGTCCGATATATATGTTGTATCATTGTTAATGAGACAACTATCCACCAGAGTTGAAATGAAGTGGATACAGCCCATTATCGTGTACGTGCATTTAAATCAAGCTTCACTACATTTCAAAACCCACGTTCATATTGGGCAGTAGCGGGACTCATTTTTCAAGTGCGTTTGGATTACAAGGAACTCAATTTTTTTTATCTACGTAGAACATAGTAGGCTTGAACTTTGAACTGATGACAAGCGCCGATGATGAAAAAAAGAAAAACCTAATTCCCCCCAGATGCGATTTTAACTGCCTTCAAAACTTATTCGATTGAGTGAATAAAACATCATATATATATATAGCGGATCTTGAGGGTAAAGGACAATGATAACATCGTTCATATTTCTTGAAAGACAGTCTATGGAATGTATCTTTTATGAAATCTATTTCACAAACTTGTTTATCAATGGAAATCATTAAGTACATTCAAAAGTCATTTTTTATTCTATTAAGTAACCAAGCCTGCAAGTGTCTGCAGATCAAATGAGTAGTGAAAGCAGAAAATTAATGTCACTTGTCAGTTTGATATGCACACAAAATGTAGAATGGCTAAATCTCAATTTCCATGAAATTGATTTTACGCCAAGCAGATTGTTTTGAAAGAAATCGTGCTTGTGATTGCTTTTCATTGCACTTTTAGGATATTTAATAAATCCTTTAGCAAGAATTTTATTAAAATAAATACTTTAATTTGTCGACCCGGTCGATATCTTTTACAAAGTTGTTGTCTTAATAGGACATAGAAATTGCATACAGAGTCAATGACACCAACGTTATAACGCTTAACGAAGTTTGTTGCGTTGAATACATTTTTCTTCATAAATTTTTAGACATGTTATTGTATCTAATCAATATACATTTACTATGCAGTGAGTGTCCTTGTTTTTCTGTTGATGCCATAAGGAATTTTGAATTCATTATTTATATTGACATGTTCCTAGTTTAGCTTCCATTAGATGTGTTTCTATTTATTTTATCTAGTTCATGCTTAAGTCATCACAATGTCTTCTTTTGTTAATTGTACTTATTTAAAAAGAGAATGATACCAATCTCCATGGAATAACCTTCATCAGCCACATTCAAGACTAAAAGCCTGTTAAACGTAAAGTATTAATGCACATTAGTTTTTTTCCGTCCAATTTCGTTTGGTCGTTGTGCGTGGTGTCTCTTTTCTTCGAAATACTAAGGATGATTTTCTAACCCAGAAATAGATTACCTTAGCTGTACTTGGCAAAACCTTTAAAAATTTTGGGTCCTCAATGCTCTTCAACTTCTTACTTTATTTGGCCTTTTTTATTCGAGCTTCACTGATTAGTTTGTAGACAAAATGCTCGTCTGGCGTACTAAATTTTAATCATGTTATCTATGATAATACTAAAGCAAATTTATTGTTCCCTTGATGTCGTCTCCTTTTTATCTGAGACCAAATGAAAAGTACAGCAAGAATCGTCAAAGGTGAGATTTGCTTAGTTTTAATACAATTTTATAATTTTTTAACTGGAAATTTAAAAACAAATTAATCCTCACCAAAAGTTTTCTTTTTTTATTTTCAGAAATTGTCTTCATGATTTATCTCTCAGGTTTCATATATATGTTATACATATACTAGGATTTCAAATTGAAAAAAAATAATGAAACCATGATATTGTAGGATTAAAAACATTTTTTTTTCTAGAAGTGTATTGATGTGTAAACTGGGGCCATTAACTCACAAACTAAATAAAAGATCGGCATATAAAGTTTGTGAGTCATCGACCGAGTTTACACATTAATTATCTCTAGAAAAATGTGTTTAATCCTTAAAATCCTTCACCAAAACATTTTCAATTTGTAATTACCAATTTTTTGTTCATTGGCTACTATTAACCATCACATGCACAATTGGAATGTTGTAACTAAAGAGTTAACCGCCTTGTTGATTAATATAATAGAATCTAATATGAAAACACAACTACCTCAAAAAAACTTCACAAAAACGTCCTTGTTCTAAAAAAAAGTTCATACCTGGACCTTGTTGATAAATATTCCGTATCAACGTCACAAGTAATACATGATGGTCTAGAAGCATAGATTCTAGGTACTGACGTTGTTTATCATCTTAAAAACGTGTTATAGTGTTCTTTTTATTTGTCTTTGTATATTATTATCTTTTACTGTTTATTCCATATTGTCTCGCCTGCGACGAAAGTCTCGGAAAGCAAAACATAGGGATTGCTTTTCCGGCGACGGCGACGGCGTCAACAATTGTTAAGTTTTCTGCTGAAGTCAGTTTGATAGGATCTACTTGTGATAGATCGATGATATTTTGTATGAAGTTGCATTACTATCAGTACATATCAGTTTGACGACTATTTTGAGGCCCTGCCTCCTAGGACATGGTCAAGTGACTTTGAATTAATTAGCAATTTTCAATGTTAAGTTTTCTGCTTAAATTAGTTTGATAGGATGTACTTGTGATAGATCAATGATGTTTTTTATGAAGTCGCATTACTATCAATTCATATCAGTTTGATTACTATCTTGAGGCCCTGTCCCCTAGGCCATGGTCCAGTGACTTTGAATTAATTAGCAATTTTCGATTTTATGTTTTTTCTGCTTAAGTCAGTTTAATAAGAACTACTTGTGATAGATCAAAATGATATTTTTTATAGAGTTACTTTACTATCAGTACATATCGTTTTAACGACTTTGACTTTGAATTAATTTGCAATTTTCAATGTTAAGTTTTTATGCTAAAGTTGTTTTGATAGGAACTCCTTACAATAAACAACACTATTTTCTATAAAGTTACATTACTGTCTGTACATCTCAGTTTGTCGACCATTTTCAGGCCCTGTCCACTAGGTCATGGTCTAATGACTGAATTAATAAGCAATTTTGCTGTCCATCAGATTGTCTTTTTCTGAATTTTATGCCGATAGGCGAGACATATCTCTGTGTCAACAGTTTATTTGTAATATCCCTTTTGGCGTGGCTCGGTCTTTATACATCCCGCCATTTGTATTCTTGTCTTTCATTTTTGCTTATGTGCTTTGTCTAAAGAGTTTCTATGCCAATTTGTTTTTCTTTGTTGGCATAGTTGTTTGTTGTTAAAGTGATTAAGATTATAACACAATGTTGACTTGTGTTCCCCAATTTTTGATATTTTTACCTATTATATATGAATAAGAAGATGTGGTATGAACGCCAATGAGATAACTCTCTATCCAAGTCACAATGTGTAAAAGGTAAACAATTATAGGTCAAAGTTTGTTTTGCTCACATATTTTTGTCAATATAATGTAATTGTATGCGACTGTCATACAAGTGAGAGGGTTAGCTAGCTACAAAACCAGGTTTAAGTCACCATTTCTACACAAGGAAATGCCTGTACCAAGTCTGGAATATGTAAGTTGTTTTCCATTCGTTTGATGTGTTTGAGCTTTTGAGTTTGCCATTTGATAAGGGACTTTCCGTTTTGAATTTTCTTCGGAGTTCGGTATTTTTGATATTTTTGTTATTTTTACCTGTTTCTTTTATGCTATGGTACATGTTAGTATGGCGATCTAAGGTTAACTTCAAACACACGGTTACTAAAAATCACATTTTAATGGTACCAAATAGGGGGTTACGTCATTATAGTATACCTGCTTATTCAATCTTACTTTTTAACCAAAAGATATTTTCGTCTTACTTTTTACATCATGACATTCAAATTTCTATTTGTCTTTATTTTTGTACCTTCTAGTACTTTTGAATTATTTTAAAATAATCTGTATCTTAATCGCTCATTTTATTTTTTCAGATAAATATATAATACAAAGACATAATATCCGTAAAAAAAGAGTTTATGAATGCAAGCGTATTCGTTATAACAAGTCATAATCTGTTCTTTCCAAACTAAAATTGTTATTAAATCGGAAGGTCTACGATAATTAAACCTAAAAGCACTTCGGACGTATCAAATTTATAGTGTGTTATTTTCCTGTTTTGATAGCACTTGGTCTAAGGAGTTGAAACCTTAGTTTCTTATAATTTCAAAATTTATTAACGGACAATTTTAGAAAGGTTTGTTATAAATCATGTCAGTACCGAAGTACTGACTACTGAGCTGATTACCCTCGGGGACTGATAGTCCACCAGCAGATGTATCGACCCAGTGCTGTAAAAATAAAAAAACAACACGTTATAAATTGCATGCGTCTGTAGCGCTTTTCGTGAATTACCTTCATCAAGAACACTCAAAGCCGAATATTTGAAAGCCTAGAATGTATAATAACCTAAATAGTTGAAGAGCTTTATGACCAAAATGGACATAGCAAATAGCCAAATTTATCTAAGGTCAACTTTGACTGAGGGAGTTGAAACCATAATTTCAAAAAAGTTTAACGGACAATTTTGGAACGGTTTGTTATAAATCATGTCAGTACCGAGGTAGATGTAGATTTTATGAAAATTGATATTCGTATAGTGGGTGATATCAAAAGATTACTTTTTTATATCGAAGAAAATGGAGTTGTTTAAGTCGTACAATAAATTACATTCGTTTCAACTTCCTTTTATTTTGCCTTTTACTTTTTTGATTCGATCGTCACTGATGAGTCATTTGTAGACGACACGCGCGTCTGGCGTACAATATTACAAGCATAGTATCTTATACAAAACTATAAGCTTGGTATCTTATACAAAACTATAAGCTTGGTATCTTTGATGAGTTTCTTTTCCGATCATTTCACTAGCCAAAAAATTGGTTTATAGAAAAAAGTAAAATAACAAAAATACCGAACTCCGAGGAAAATTCAAAACGGAAAGTCCCTAAGCAAATGACAAAATCAAAAGCTCAAACACATCAAACGAATGGATAACAATTGTCATATTCCTGACTTGGTACAGGCATATTAATTTATCTAGAATAATAAAGACCGGTAAAGTTAATTTATTTAACGATTTGAGCCTTTTTTGTGCTTTATATTCTCTACATTTGTAACCGCGAGGTTAAGACGAAGTGTAGAATTAATGTTATGACTAACACAATTTAGATTTGAGTTTGATTCTCTGTTTTCGGATTCATTATCTTTGAAATCAAATTTCAGTACCATATACTAATAACGCGTTCAAATTCGAATCTTTTTTCATGGTTTAAATCTATTACCTGCATTCCTATCACAAAGGATATCATATATCTCCCAGTTGATACGATATTCCAGAGGTTGCATTTCGTGTGATTTCCTTAATAGAGGGTTGCTGACCACAAGAACGGCAATAAAACAAGAGTTCCAAGTGGCGAAGTTGAAATCATCCATTCGAAAATTTTCAGCTGCCATTACGAGTTGGTTGACCGTTATGGAATATCTGTTTCACATATTACGACGGATATGTTCCAATTGTCGTAACCAAAATCCCATTCTTTTTCTCTCGAATGACCTATCGAATTAGACTTATCACCGAGTTTGTACTTATAAGAGCAATACGACGGGTGATACATGTTAAGCAGGATCTGCTTATCCTTTCGGAGCATCTGAGATAACACCCGGTTTTTGGTGGGGTTAGTGTTGCTCAGTCTTTAGTTTTCACGGGTTCCACTAGTGGAACAGGAACTCTAAATGCTAGATTTTTATATTTCTGTGTGTTTCAGAGTATTGTTTGATTGTTCGTCTTTTAGTTTTGTTCATGGTGTTATCTTTGTTTCACCAGCTTGATATTTTCTACACTTTTTTGATATTTTTGATAAGTTCAAAATCTTCAATTTAGATACTTTTTAAAAAGGGGTCTAAATCTTTAATTACAGTACAGTGTTAGCCTTTATGATTTCCTTTACTTCCTTCCAGATACAGTTTGTTTATTATTGTATTGATGATTGTACGGTAAGTATTCAGTTACAGTAGAGAACATTCTGAACTTTATATTTGGTAAATACATGTATATGACACTTAGAATAAACCCCAAAAAAAATCATTACATCCAAAATACTAGTACATCTTTTTATTTGATATCTTACATCTTATCGTATTATACGAGTAAAGGATTATTTTAAGTGAATTTGTGTTGATATTAAAAAATAACAACAAAAACCAAACAAACTTGAACGATATACACTTTACATAACAAATATCAAACGTGAATTTAAAAAAAAATCTAAATGCAAGAAAGTTGTATATTTACTACTTTATCTTTAATTATACAACTCTGTAATGCGTACGGAGTCGAGACCAATCATCCTCTTTTATCTATTCCAATTTTTGTTCACAGATTGATCTTGAATTACTCTTAAACACATACAACGAAGAGGATGCTGAGAAATTTAACTCACTTATTGAATTATATACGAAATGTGGAGACTTTTTATCTGAAGTAAGTGCGTTTTAATATCAATCTGGACATATGTGTTAATATTCAAAATAAAGTTCTGCTACTGCGTATACAAGATCCAACTGTTTCGCCGAAACTGATATTACTGATTTTTAAAGTCTGGTTAATATCTTCAGTCATAATCAGGTTACTTTGTTCACAATTACATCAAATGACCTTTACTTGTTAACACTGCAAACCGTTTAAGTAAATGTGACTATGCAAAATCTTGTTCAGAAAATTTATTTTAAAGAAACTTTTTATTTTGTATTATGATTGACTCTTAACAATCGGTATTGGGGTTATTTGATTTGTTGGTGTGTTTGGTGCAACGTATCAATGCTTATTGTTGCAACCTTTCCTGCAAAATATTGTTTCATGATCAAATTAGCTGTTTGATTTTGAACATGACTGTTGATGTCTTTCTGTTAATTTATTGGTATCATAAAAAAATGTGACTTTTTATTCTTAGAAAACATTGGGAGAACAATTACTGGTCATGATTGCTGCTGCATTTTTACACTGTATGATATTGAAACAGTTACCAAGTTCAACACAAGAACGACATACAAATCAAAACATGTGCCTTTGTCAGTTTGTTGAAATGGTGATGGCAGAGTATTTCCAGTGTCTTTCAAAGTTTACTAAAGTTCCAGATCTCCAAGACGTTTTACAAAAAAGACTTTTTCTTAGTGTAGAAAAGAAGAAACTCAAAGAAAGAAAACAATCACTTGCAATCAAAGAAGAATTCAGCTTTGTTTCTATTTGACACATGTATACACTTTTATATTTTTACTAAAATCAAAATTATATGACAACTAATATCAAAAGCATTCATTATTGTTTGTTTTATGTTAAGTCATTTCGATATTTGTCTTCCGAGTGTAACCTTTTTGTTCAACCCTTGAAAATCAATGTTACATTTAAAAAAATCATTGCAATTTTACCTTTATAATGCACGCCATTTACTATTTAGAAGGCTTGCCGTCGACAGAGCATGCGAGATTTTAATCCTGATGATTTTATGTGTACTCTATCTTCGCACAACTGTAATACACCTTATCGCTATTTGGAAATTTGCGCCGCTTGAACTTTTGACGTCATTCAACAATCACTTTTCCATTGTGGCGTCAGATATTTTCTATTGTGGCGTCAATTTTTTACGGGAACCTTTGTGATATCTAGTAATGGCTGACAAATAGCAATAAGGTGTATTGTGGTAAACCATCGAACTTAGAATGATTGCAATCTAAAGCGTTTACATTTCTTTAATATGCAATGTGAAAAACAATTGACCCAAATATGTCGGCTTATTTGATATGACAGATATAATGAATTCACGAATAAGAATAAATTGATCATGTTTAATTAACCGACATGTTTGGGTGATTTGTGTTTTTTTTTTTTTTTTTTTTTTTTCGCTATAGCAGAATTCAAAGCTAACTATGACATTCATAAAGCTAAGTAAAACGGTGCTCTTAGTGAAGTCTGTTTTTAACCTGAGAATATCCGAGACAGATGCCTTAAGGGAAAGACAGTAACTCATTCAAAAAGATTACAGATTTTTTAATGGAGGCTGGATATATTCACATACATACAGTCTTAAAAAATATATCAGTCATAATTTCTACAAATTTGAAGTAATCTAAGAGAGATAACTCATAGCTGCTTTGTATGAATTTCCATGTTTTGAGGGTATCAAGGAATTTATTAGAAAGGTTAAAAACATTCAAAATCAGGATGTTTCGAGGAGCTCTTCTTCCAAAAAACCCTCATTAAGTTATTGAATGCTCTGATTTTGATGCAACAGTACAAAACATGCTTTTGTTGACAGCGTCGATCCAATCACTGGATATTGCGTGTACATGAATTTTCATCATGTAATAGCTTTGAACTAATTGGTTTACAGCGACGGAAGGTTGTCTTGTTACCTATTCTATAAATCATTCCGTATAGGGAAGAAAATAAGTATGTTCTACAGTTTACAGTTCATGTTAAGCAGAATCGTTACAAACAGTGAAAGAGAATAGATGGAATATAAAATCACTATCCAGACTCCTTAACAAGGGTGTGCTACTTATACAAAAACTGCTCCAACAGAGTTACGAGGAAGGACGACTAAGATAGAAATTTTTACGGTCACCATCACATTTTGTGATGATCTCATATGCCTCTGATGTCTAAGTAGTTACTACTAAAGGTTCCATATTTTTCATGAATGACTTTAAAACACTTCTGCTTAACAAGACAAAAAGGGGAAACAGTTTTCATTAATAACTGTGCCAAAGTAAGATGGTAAATGAGATACACATATACACTTTGAAATATTCGAAAAACTAAGGATTCTCTGTTCTAAGATAGATTACCTTAGCTGTATTTGGCAGAACATTTTGGTCCACAATGCTTTTAACTTTTTTTATTCAAGCATCACTGATTAGTCTTTTGTAGACAAAACGCGCGTTTTGCGTGCAACATTTTAATCATGGTACCTAAAAGAAGTTTATATACATGTATAAATGAAAAGAAAACTACATTCGACCTTGTCCAAGAATATAAGATGTGAAGAATAGTGATACTTCCCTTACAAATCGGACAACTAGGGAGACGGATTATGTAAGTTCTTCTTGATTCCCAATCCCCATATTTGTGTTATATATTTGTCATTTGTGCACTTTTGCAAAATAAAATATTGATTAACCTTATTTGGCCAACCAGAACGAAATACAAACCCGCTGATGAGTAATTCATCATCATACCCGTGTTAAAAAAGGTGCTCAAAGGTCATCATTTGCTCTAAGTTCATATAATCCAGACAAGGCGAATAAACTTTAAAAGTCCGCAAGAAGGGCAAGGGAAAAATATTATTGAACCGCTTATTTCTAGTTTTATTATCTATGTTTCCTCTCTATCAGTCTTTTAGGCCCTGAAATCTCACTTGGATATCTTTTGATTTAAACTGACACTTCTGGTCAATTCGATCCAAACATTTTAGGGATATAACTGCTCGGTAAACAATATTATATCCATTATTTGTTAAATATTATGATTTTTAAGTTTCATAAATATGTACAAAGTATTCAACATAGATGATTTTCACATGTAAACATTTGCTCAGATCTTAAGACCAAAAGAAGAAACAGAAACTTATTTGAAATATCAAATTGTATATGCCTAAGATTGTAATGTTCTCTTAACTTTTAATTTATTCTATACACAGGACTATCACGTGAAAAGCTTTAACTGACACTGGTTACCTTTGCCCCCTCAATTGTTGATAGAATACTTTTTTTTCTCATGCAGCAATTGACTTGGTTTAAAAATAATAATAATAAAGAAATGGTTACATTGCAAAATCATAAAAAGATAACATAATCAAGTCTATACTAATAGTTCAGAGAAATAACTCTATTGGATACATTGACTGCTTGTCCAAACTCGCGACGTTCAGATAGGGCGCGTTATCACTGAACCATTGCAGCTTAAACTGGCCTGTAACTGTTATGTTTGGGTAAATTTATATTGACATTTACGTCACACTTCCTTCTACTTTTGTACGCCAGACGCGCGTATCGTCAGACTCATCAGTGACACTCAAATCAAAAAAGTTAAAAAGCCAAACAAAGTGTGAAGTGGAAGAGCATTGAGGTATACGAATTCTTATATTTTTTTGCAAAATACAGCTGAGGTAATCTATTCCTGTGGTAGAAAATCCTTATCAATTGAATATTTTCATATACAGGAGCGTGCTCCTTACGCAGAAACTGCTCCAACAAAATTGTGAGGAGGAAAGATTAAAAATGACACTCCGTAAATTGTATGGACACCATCACGGATTGGTTGATCTATACGATGTGTCTGTGTCTAAACTAACTTACGACATCTTGATTGTGGTTTACTATCTACGTCGTCTGGTCTGCTAAGTTCCGAACGTGACCTATTCCCGAATATGACTGTTTTGCCGAGTGTGAATTCGCATTGATATAAGACGTGTCTCGGTATTTATACATCCAACATTCATGTATTTAGTTATGATGTTTCGTTTGTAATTCTGGTTGGATATTGTGTTATGTCTTATCGTTTGTGGTTTGAATTCTATTTTTATTTTCTATTTGTATGCAAAAGTAAAGATAATTAATCAGCTAGTTCATTTATATGATTTTTAGTTAAAGCAACTATATGCACAGGAATTATTTCTTTTTTCACAGTTTGATTTAGAAAAAAACCGACATGATTAGAAAATACAAATAATTACACCATTACTAACACAATTCTATATTAATATTCTTGTAATGGTTAGAAAATACATAAAATAACACCATAACAAACTTTATCCCAATTTTATATTCTATTTTTAGAAATTTACCTGTGACGTCACTTTTTGTGGCGCTGATACATTCGTGTGACGCACAGTTCATAATACTATTGCGCTGTCGTAAATTAATTGGAGGTGTTCGTTGTTATTCTGTGGTTTACGTGTTGTAATGTACTATTATATTATTTATTCATGTATTTCTCTGTCCTGAGTGTTCTTGCGTTTATTTGTACTGTCACGTAATATTGTCATTTTAGCGGTATTTTTAACATTGCCATATAAGCGGGAGGTTTGGCTAGCCATAAAACCAGGTTCAACCCACCATTTTTTCTTAAAATGTCCTCTACCAAGTCAGGATATGGCAATTGTTATCAAATATTTGTTTCTATGTATGTTGGCGTTTGCTTTTGTAGCAGTTCAGTGTTTCTGTTGTTCCGTTGTTTTCCTCTTATAGTTGATATGTTTCCTTCGGTTTTGGTTTGTGACCCGGGTTTGTTTCAGATAAATCGATTTATGAATATTGAACAGCGGTATACTACTATTGCCTTTATTTAAAGATTTGTAAACAGTTAATTTATACATTTGACAATATCAATGATAATTCATGTCAACAAAGATGTGTTGATTACAGGGCTGGTAAAACATAATAACATGTAGACTTTTTTTATTGCTTTATATCACAGGGTTTCAATAACAGATTGCACAAATTAAATTAAATTGCAACAAATTTTTACTAATTTCATGTCATGCAAGTATGAGCATTTTAAAGCTTTAATATCCATTAGATGTTAGTTCCTTACAGTTTTCTCTAGACATCAATTGCACTTCTAACTCATACCATGTTTCTTTTCCTAAAATTAATAATAAATATACGTAATTCAATTTTGATAATTGAAATCGTTTTCATGGTTTGGTTTTAATATAGGCGAGCTATGATAAAAGTAACAGCCTTTCTATTACATATCCACATATGTCGAAACCTTAACTTAATATCAAATGATTCATTTACGAACACATTTACAATGTAAAATAATCCAGGGTTTTTCTTATTGTTCAAATAGATGTTGTATTGCACTGTAAACGAAGTATAAATGTAACATACATGTAGTCTCAGGGGCGGATCCAGCCATTTATAAATGGGGGGGTTCCTAACCCAGGATTAAGGGGGGGGTCCAACTATATGTCCCCATTCAAATGCATTGATCGTCAAAAAATGGGAGTTCCAACCCCCGGAACTCCCCCCACCCCCTGGATCCGCCACTGAGTCTATTGTCTTGTTCGTATAGAAGGATGACCGATAAACAAGTTTATGATTGTACTGGAACAACTTGCGTTTAATGATACATATACTAAACGAAAAGTTGAGGCTCCAAGGAGCCTGAATCGCTCACCTTGAAAATAAATGCAACATTAAAATCATAAGCAACGGTGGCAGCCATCTTTCACACGCGTACTTTAAGAAAATTTAAAAGAATGTTCACGTCATTTAAGTACAATAACTCCAATTGTCCAAGTCATTTAAGGACAATAACTCCAATAAGAAGACAATGGACGATTTCCATCATTTTATTTTCATATATATCATGTTTTGCTGTGTACTTTTTTTCTATCTAATATAGTTTTCATGATAACTGCATAAAACGCGAAAATTATCATTTTGTGGCATAATACTTTTAAAAAAGTCGATCCATAAAATCAATAATATTCAACTATTTGTAGATTCTATCTTGCTGACCATGTTTTTGTTATGTTGAAAAGTTTTCCTCTATCAAAGTTTTCAAGAAAATACCAAAAACAAAACGCAAAAAGTGGTAAAATTGTCAATACATTGGCAGTAACACCAATATGTGTCAATTTGAAATTCCAGACATAGAAACATTCGTTTGGAGGTGACGAGTTTCTCTCTATCGTTTAAAGTTTCCGAAATATAAACCCTAAAAAATATGCTGAACACTATGTTCAAGTGTAGCAACAGCAGTCATGTTTTGCGAATCAAATCCATGAAATGAGTAAAAAAAAAAGACATGTCTGTATATGGGAGAACAGTGGTGCGTTTAAAATCTTTATCAACAGTATAGTTTGTGGCATGTTGGTCTCTCTTTAAATGTGCTGATTGAAAGCAGTTAAACTAAAACGTTTGAGACAAACCGCACCTTGTACTGCAATGAATTGTAAGGATCTTTGAAGAGTTTGGATTATGGGGTCACGAAAGGATGAAAAACAAATTCTTATGAATTTTTACTGACTGTTTGATAAATTGGTACGCTCACTATAATTACTATCATATAGATCAATAACATACATTGTTATCTGTTTGATAAATTGGTACTCTCACTATAATTACTATCATATATATCAATAATAGATAATGATATCTTTCAACAACTTATTTTTGTGCGTAACAGTTGGTGTTTCTGAAACCGCATATTTGATCAATACAGACATTAGAACTGTATTAACACCCCTTCTCTACATTACTGCGCATTTTAAATCGTGTCGTTCTTATACAACATTCTGGTGTGGTGAAACACAATTTTTTTTTTTATTTTATAGAATACACATTTTATGAATTGCATAGTATTTTTCACTTATTTTATGCGTTTATGATGGGAAATAAAATTGGTTTTGTATGCATATTTTCTTTTCGTTGTTCCTTTATTTGTGTAAAGCCAGTACTCTATATGGAGCTTCTAATACGAATCTCATTTTACATACCATGAACAACGTCTGATTTACATTTGAAGATGAATCCTGCTCTAGTATACAATGGTATCAGTTTAGATTTGCAGATCAACAGAATCCTATGAGCATCTTTCTCCTCGTTTTTGACATAGTTTATAAATTCTTTTAGCATATGTGTTGCTACGCCCTATATTAAAAACAAATTGCAAATATCTCAAAAATGTCACATATGAATGTTCAAATCAAAGACTGTATGGGTATAAATGTATAAAACAAAAAAAGAAATATCATACAATTAATATGTCTACAGATGCACATGTTATTTTTTGAAAATATTAACTTTGCCAAATTTTGAATTTAAATTTAAAAATAATGTTGTTCCCAAAAATACATTATTTCTGCTAACTGTCACGATATTTAAAAACAATGAGTTCTTCACATACTTTACAATGACCTATTGTTTGAAGAGTTGGCCTTGAAAAGCCTCTTGTTTGAATTTTATCAATAATAAAGATAACCCCATATCAGAAGTTCAGCTTTGAGCATTTTTGACCCGATAAAACACATCAACGCATTTATAAACCTTCATATAACACTGGCATGTTGGTCATACATCTTAGTCAATATTTTCCCCCATTTGGAAGATCATATTTAAGCCTTTACATATTATTTTTAGCTCTTGGTTAAAATGAATATTATGGTGCGTCAACCAAATACTATTTCCACTTAAGTAGGTACTGTAGTCAATATAAAAAAATTAAAACAACACTTTATAAATTGTATGCTTCCGAACCGCTTTTCGTGATTTACCTTCATCATGAACGCTCAAAGCCGAAAGTATGAAAGCCAAGGATGTGCAGGAGAGGAAAGAGTTGAGGAGCTAAATGACAAAAACGGACATAAATATAACAGCCAAATCCATCTAAGGTCAATTTTGCCTGAGGGAGTTGAAACCTTAGTTTTTTAGATATTTTAAATAAGAATCATGAAAAATCCCTTTCATAAAAGGCTACAAATGTTTATTTTTGTCAATCAAGTGCAATATGGGTGTAAATGAAATGAATAAATGCCTTTCCAGGACAGACAAATGGCATCATTTTACAATAGATTCTATGGGATATCATTGGAGTTATCTCCCTCAAAATAAGTTTTATAATGCATTCTATAGAATTCATATCTCTGGTAAGGGTCCATAAATTAAAATTATAAATATCGTGAAAACGAAAGTATAGCAACTAAGATACGTTTTGATATCAATATTTTCACAATATAAGCACAAATATGGACATCAAAATGTAAAACTTAAACAACATACAGTAAACCTTAAATACTAATTCAAAAAAGTTCATTACAGCTTAAAGCGCTGGTTGTGTAAATCTATTGCACCTCAAATCCTCTTAATCAAAAGAGATCTAAGTACAGTATTTGATTTACAAAGAAATGTACTTCGTAAAAAGCATTGATGGAATTTTGATTTCGATTGACAAAAAAAATATTGATAATAAGAGACTATGAGGGGAAATTGTCAATGCGACAGAATACTTACAAATATTTGGAATGTACACAAGTCTGAATAGAGACAACTGTGTTTGGCACAAAATGATACTGCCACAGCATGTCGACTAGAGAAAATTGAATAGACTTAGAACATAAACGAGTCTGAATTCGGTATTATTTGACAGGGTAAAGGGTCACACACAGGAATATGGCGAAGATAGCTCCTTAAATTTCAGAAAAGGTAAGAGCTACGACAAAACTATTGCAAAAATACATAGCACTTTTTTCTGAAGAATTCAATTGAAAAACTGTTTAAACTTGACTTAAAGAAATAAAGTTGATATTTTGGACTTCGGTCCAACTAAGCCCCTTTTACTCATATTATTTCGGAAGTCGTAGGAGCTAAGTTAGGTTCGATTACAAAACGCAAGCTGGAAACTTCATATGCTTATATCTTGCAAAGCAGAAATGCTACATCAAATCTGTTTTATAAGCGCATTCCATACAACCCAATATACTCCATTGTTGTGGCTCTATATTGACATAAATACGCCGTTCAGTTGATATCATTGACGTATACTCTTGATTTTCATTCATTCATATACTGATGGCGCTTTTGATAAATAATGCAAAAAAGTCATTATAATATATGTCCCCGACATTTTTAACAGTTTTTTAATATTATGTAGGATCAGTCAACTTTATCAAACGTTTTCCATTGAAACCTGGCATCTAATAACGGACAACGAAGATGACAGCAAACCTTTATCTAGCCTAACCGAACAATTTGACAGAAAAATAATGAAAAGACATGAACGACAACTGAAAAGATCCCTGACATTGGAATAAAAATATGGCGACATCATTATACCTAATTTAGGTGTAATACCACCAAATTATATAGTACGTCACATCCGGTTGCATAAACTAAAATAGGTCGAAAAAAAATATTCCCTTGAATTTGACAGTTGTAGGTAATTGATCCTACATTTCATTGCAGTAAAACATTTCTGGGTCATAAACATATATCTTGGGTATTTCAAAGCACCATTATTTTTTTATTTGGGGTTTCTATAGAATATTTTGGAAACTTGAGGTTACATGGTTACTAAAGCTTGTACACAGGTTAAAAAAGGGGGAAAATTTGATTGGTTAACTTCCAGTGATGGTTATTTTCTTATATGCAATGAAATGTTATGTGAAATTTTTTCTATAGTACTGGACAGGATAAAACTTTACTCATGCCAATTATTTCTTTATTCAAAACAAAGATAAATTCTGCACATTTCTTTGAAAAGTGCAAATTTAACAAAGACTAATAGGGGAAAATCAATGGTGGTATTACACCTAATATGGGAAGCTGTACATGCACCTTTGACCTTGTGAGTACTCTCATGTGTTAAAATTTCTTGCTATTTAAGTGAAATATTACAAATAATGAAATATTCTGAGTGGATTGAGTCTCCAAAACACATTTTATGAGAAAATTTCCTTGAAATAGGACTTTACCATGAATATTAGTTGACAGAACAAGCCATACTTAGAGTTTTGGGTAGCTTTTTCTCCTTATTTTTTATATTCTGCTATACTAGAAAATTTTTCCTAAGAAATACTTTAATAAATATATAATTTTAAGTAAATGAAATTATTTTTAAAAGCAGTAACAACAAATTATTCACCATAAGAGAAGCTTTTTATGTCCATCTCTGGAACGCGGCGTAAATTTAAGTTTTACGTAAGGGCTTATTGAAACCTCCTTGGAGACAGTAAACTTTTATACGGATAGTTCATTCAGCTTGAATACTTCAATTAATCATTTATTATAACATTTCTATCATAAATGAGTGAAAGTTACCCCAAAACTTTTATTTATTAGCCTAAAAAGTAGAAATTTTGAGGAAATGAGAGGTATAAATGGACCAAAAGAGACCTTATAAGGAAGACAAAGAGGTCCATTAGTAGTATTTATCATCCTAAAGTCATCTTTTGTATCATATTCAACTGTTTGTAGGCAGATGAGATAAATATTTGATCATTTATTGGTCCACACTATATTCTATCATGATGCGGCTTGGTTTGGATTTTTCGAAGAAATTTTGCTCGAATCGCTGTAGATGTTGTCTTACATTATACTAGATTTTTCTTAAACTATTGAACTGATTATAACAAAACTTGACAGGAATGCTTGAAATAACCAGTATTACAAAGGAAAAAAGTCACATTCAGTTTATTTAACAAAAAAGTCTTCTTTAATAGAGATTAATCCAGAAAAGAGCAACATTCCAGCAGCACCAGCATATGATGATATACCTCCCTGTTGATATGTAATATTACAGAGCTCACGTTTCCTATCATGATTCACTTGATAGAGGTTTCAAGCGGTAAAGTTGAAGTCATCCTTCAAAAGTTTTACGGGTGAAATTACGAGTTGGTCCTCTTTTCCTCGTTTTGTCATTACCGAATGAGACTTACCAGAATTTGTAATTACCCTGACTAACATTACAGGTGCAACTAATGGAGCAGGATCTACGTACCCTTCGGTTACACTTGGCATAACCCATAATCATTGGTGGGGTTCGAGTTGCTAAGGCTGCAGTTGTCTGCAGTTTGATTGGGCCTTCCAACTTTTTTTAATCGAGCTCCACTGATAAGTCTGATGTAGACGAATCGCGCGTCTGGCGTGCAAAATTATAGGCCTGATATCTTTGATTAGCTTTTACAACAGCTGGGTCGATGCCATTGCTGGTGGACGTTTCGTCCCTGAGGGTATCACTAGCCCAGTGGTCAGCACTTTTGTGTATTGACATAAAATGTCATTGATATGTCAATTTTCTTTACATTTAATGTATATAAAATGTTGAATTATTCGAAACACTAAGGTTTTTCTACCCCTACGTATAGATTGTGTTAGCCGTATTTGGCACAACTTTTCATTGTTTTTTGGTATTTAAAGATCTTCAACTTCGTATTTTAATTTGGCCTACCAATTGCTTTTTAATTCGAGCGCCACTGATGAGTTTAATGTAGACGAAAAGCGCTTCGCGTACAAATTATAAGAATAGTATCTTTGATTAGTTTTTTATAAGTAGTGTTTTCGGACTTGATCACATTTACGTCATTTTGGTCTTTGGTTGTTTGCTGTCTCACTGGCAATCATACCACATCTCCTTATTTATATTGTGTGTATATTCGTCCTGTCGTTTCTGCCATTGCATTAGAAGTTTATCTTTGACTTTTTGACTTTGAATGTCCCCTTGGTATCTTCTATGGAACGCCACAGCTGTCTTATGTGGAACTCTGATATTACTTTATGTTGTTTTATTATTACTTGATGATATTTTGTCTTTACTTAATATGGTTTTGACATTACGTAATGATGTTTTGATATAACTCAATATGGAATAGTCATTACTTAATGATATTTCGATATTACACGATATGGTTTCGTATTGACTTGATATAGTTTTGTCATTACTCAATATGGTTTTGTCATTACTCGATGTGGTTTCACCATTATTTAATGTGGTTGTGTCATTAGTCAATGTGGTTTTAACATTATTTAATGTGGTTGTGTCATTAGTCAATGTGGTTTTAACATTACTTGATGTGAATGTGACTTAACGTTATGTAGTTGTTTCATTACATGATGTGGTTTTGTTATTTTGTAATGATGATTTGCCTATTCTTTATATGGTTTTAACATTACGTAATGATGTTTCAAAATTTGACGATTTTACACTACATGATGTGTTTGTTTCATTATTTGATGTGGTCCTGTCATTCTTTGATGTGGTTATCCCATTACTTGATGAGGTAAAATCACGTGACCGATTCGGAAAAACCTGTTCTATTTTTAGATAGATTTCAGGTTGTATGTGCCTGGGATGAGTGTTGCCATCCATCGAATTTGAGTTCGGGTTACTGTTTGAGTTAAACTTTGAGTTAGTCTTCGATTTCGAATTCAAGTCATTATTAGAATTAAAATTTTAGTTAGCATTGAGTTTCGAGTTGGACTTCGAGTTTGAGTCACATTTAAGGGTAGAGTTCTAGTTACAACATTAAATTTGAGTCACTTTTTGAGGTAGAGTTTGAGTAAGATTCGAATTTAAGTCTCAATTAGATTAATTCAGATTATGAGTTGAAATTCGAGCTATCTTATATGGGTTCGTAATTAAATTTTCTATCGCGGAACAAGGACTTTTGCTCGGGCTTCCGAAAAGAGGGCTCCGAGTTATGCGTACAAAAGATAAACAATGTTACAGTATACAAAACGCAACATAGAAGTTGAAATAAAGCTAGATGTGGTGTGATTGACAATGAGACAACTATCCACCAGAGTTTAAATGCAGTGGATGTAAGAAATCATATATAGGCAACCGTACAGCCTTCAACACACCGTTTAGTCAGCTACAAAAGGCCACCATGCACCATGTGAAAAAATTCAAACGAAAAAATAAACGGTCTTATTTATAAATAATCAATCTACAAAAAAAAAATGACACACATTTATACAACGACAACAATTGAACTTCATGCTCCTGACTTGGGGCAGGTACATAAAGAAAGTGCACGTGGCGGAGTTTAACATGTATGTGAGCGCTAAATCCTAACCTTACATCGGACTGTTACAGTTGTGTAACAGCACAACACGAGAAAAAAATGTAAACTAGACAAAGTGATGCCCCCGCACTCAACTCATTTAACCGCTTATACCCCAAAAATGACAAAAACAAGTTCAATTGTCTCCCAAAAAGAGCAAAAGATAATAAAAATAAAAACCCTGACCACATGCACACCTACAATATATGTACAAACAGCCAGCAGAGTGAAAACTTCCTAGCATTCAAACTGTAGGAGGAGTTATCTGGAAACGCTCTTCTTATGCAAGGAAATTTCCCAAAAAATTACAAAGTTCAACTATCTCCCAAAAAAGCAAATATTAATAAACATTAAACCCTGACCACATGCACACCTTCAATATATGTACAAACAGACAGTAAAGAGAAAACTTCCTAGGATTTAAACTGTAGGAGGAGTTATGCGGAATAACTATATACCCATAATGGGACGGACAGACGGACGGACGGACGGACGGACGGACAGGGGTAAAACAATATGCCCCCCCAGCTTTCAGTTGCGGTAGCATACAAAACAGTTTCATTTGGCTGATTCAATAGATCGGTATGAATGGGTAATATAAATCCATCGGGGTGATCTCGGATGCTCCAGAAAGGCACCCGTCGTGTTATTCGAGAAAGTACAAACCCAGTGATTTGGGTTTATTTGGAAGTTTACATTCAAGGAAAAGATGACGGTATTATGGTTACGACCACTGGAACATGTCCGTCGTCACATGTGAAACAGATATTCCAAAAAGTTTATTTTTCAATTAGTGCGAGGTAGATCAGGGAATTCAATTGATTACAAATAAAAGATTGATATTCGTATAAGTTCAAATGATCATTTACGCTAAAAAAAAATTCGGAGAATTCTTATTTTATAGTATTGATGCTTTGTCGCTAAGTCCGAGCCCTTCTCCCCCCGTTTCCCTGTAACTTTAGTGTGAGTTGATTTGAAGTGTTTCATTTGTTAACAATAAAGTTCAAGTCTTTTGATTTGTGTCGAGCCTGCGACATCAATGTAGCGGCAGTGAGACACAACAAACCTATATTTCGTCGTCGATAGTGGCGTCGGCGTCTCCATCTCCATTTTTTTTTTATTTCTATTGAGTTTAACCTTTCATTATACATATTACTAAACATGTATGCCATCATAATTTTGTACTTTTAGAATATCATACTGTATTTCTTTACCTCGACTATTGTATCTGTATTTACATTGTATGTTTCTCTGTAAACTTGTATTTAGTTTTTAGAGAATAAAGTATCTATGTATCTATAGATCGTTAGGTTTCTAGTTTTTTACATTTTTCATTTCGGGACCTTTTATAGCTTACTATAGGGTATGGGTTTTGCTCATTGTTGAAAACCATACAGTTTTGTTTTAGTTAATAAAAACCGAATTAAACTGTTTTGACATGATAAATTTGTAAACCTCAATGAAGTGTTTTAAAACTTGTATAGGAGTTATTCCTCAATTTCAAGAAAAAGCATCTACAGAAAAAAAATTTTTTTTTTATTTTTTTTTACCGATAAATGTATAGATAAATGTACAGTCGATCAACATGACGCTTTTACACTTACAGCAGCAATATCAGGCGAGACACATGGTTCCGTGGAATATTTTACAAATTTATTACAAAAATACTGCTTCCGTTTGAGAACTTAGGATAAAAACAACAGGACCAAGTGGTTTGGGGATATCCCAATTATGTCCGAAATACTGTAAACTTTTTAATACTTTTTTTCTTATTATTGTCTGCCGTTCCCCTTTTTCATACCAAATAACTCTGAACAACCACTCGAACTTTAATTTGAACTTTAACTCAATGGATTAGCGATACCCATCCAAAGCACCTTAAACAAACGATATATTGAAATCTGTTTAAAAATAGAACATATTTTTTTCCGAATTGGTCACGTGGTTTTACCTCATCAAGTAATGGGATAACCACATCAAAGAATGACAGTACCACATCAAATAATGAAACAAACACATCATGTAGTGTAAAATCGTCAAATTTTGAAACATCATTGCGTAATGTTAAAACCATATAAAGAATAGGCAAATCATCATTACGAAATAACAAAACCACATCATGTAATGAAACAACTACATAACGTTAAGTCACATTCACATCAAGTAATGTTAAAACCACATTGACTAATGACACAACCACATTAAATAATGGTGAAACCACATCGAGTAATGACAAAACCATATTGAGTAATGACAAAACTATATCAAGTCAATACGAAACCATATCGTGTAATATCGAAATATCATTAAGTAATGACTATTCCATATTGAGTTATATCAAAACATCATTACGTAATGTCAAAACCATATTAAGTAAAGACAAAATATCATCAAGTAATAATAAAACAACATAAAGTAATATCAGAGTTCCACATAAGACAGCTGTGGCGTTCCATAATCTTCCGTCCCTTTTTATCACCTAATAAAGGCATTTTGTATATGGTGACCTTGATGAGATGGAGCATCTATGACCTTCAAAAACTACCTTGCTTTTAGTATAATTAGCCTTGAAAGCCATCACACCACCTCAAAAGATCATTTTCATGTGAGTATTTTTACCAAAAAAAACCCATTATAAATAGATATTCTAAATTCTAGCACAGAATACTTTTCATTAATACATCGCATGCTAACTAAGAAATGGTAAATCTTCTGAAGCACCTAATATCACTTCTATATATTTTAGGGCGTATTACCTAAGTTATATGTTTTTTTTTTGTGTTGGCTGTTTGCTGTTTAGTTTTGTATGTAGTGGTTTGTGAACTTGTTTGTATTTTCATCGTCTGTCGTTGTTTGCTATGGATGTTGTAAGTTTCTCTCTACTTATGAGTTTTGAAACTCCCTTGGTATCTTTTAATTTCTCTTCATGTTTGAATAAGTTTTTGGAATTTCAAATATTTTGGCCTCGAGCATCACTGAAGAGGCATTAATTGTTGAAATGTGCATCTGGTAAAGTAAAATTGGTACCGTTAATTTTATTCCACCTCTTTTTTTATTATAGTACTTTTTGTGTCATGTTTGTCTGATTCTGATAATAACTATTATCGCTTATGTTACTTCTAGTAATTCGATATTCCTCCTAAATATTTGCAGTATTTGTTATGTATTATAATTTTTTTTAATCAATTATTTCTCTAGCAAAAGAGGGGGGGGGGGGAGTCAAAAGAGGTTATGAATTTTAAACGTCAATGGTGAATGTATTTTAATTTATCAATTATATTATCTCCCTCTCCAATGTAAATCAAATATTCTGAATGTTTGTGAAACTTTATTAATTTATATATTCCAAACTGATGTCGTAATTATAGTGAACTTACCTGCCGCCGACGTGATTCTTTGACACATACTGAATGAATGCACACACTTTCTGAAACATCAACACATAACATTATGAAGGAGAGAGGCGAAAGACACCAAAGGGACATTCAAACTCATAAATCGAAAATAAACTGACAACGCCATGGCAACAAACGAAAAAGCTCAAAAATTATATGAGGCGATCTTTTTTTTTTGTTCAAAAGCTAACATAATTTCCTAGTATTTGTTATTCTGTAAAACGAACAAAAAAAACACGATCTGGCAAGGTGAAAAAGCTATTTTCGAGTTTAAATAGGGTAAGAAAAAGTAATGTCTTCAGGATCAATAAGTATCGTTTCTTCCAAAAAATAAATAACTACGGTGATTTGAACATTAAACTTAGCTGTATTTATATTTTAGAGACTGATTATTCAAAAATCTGTTTATTCGTTATATTCTAGTTACTTAACCGCAATACTCTCTCATTCAAGGTTGTGAAAGGTCCATTATAGAATACTTTTGGTGTGTGATCGCCAGCAAATATTTAACTTACTTCAAATCAAAATGTATTTGATTTCATTTGTAACTGAACGAGTTCTATATTTGTACTCTTGTTTCAAATTGTAAGCAACACGTTTATGAATAAAATATAAAATGAACACCTGGTCGTTATGCAGCTATTGATCTTATTGTAGACTTGATGTTATTTAATATGCTGGTTAAAGTTAATTACTGCAAATATTGAACTATTCTGTTTCATGGTACATAATTATATCAATTTTTGTTTGAAGCTGATCACAATAATTGACATGGGTTATAAAATCCGTATGTGAAAGTAAATTAGTTGTACTTCTGCGATTGTTCGATCAATATTTAAGTTTAAAAACTAATGTTAAAAACATGTCTGCTCAAATTGATTTATATGTCAAACATAAAACGTCATTTCGTCAAGTGTTAAGAAGAACAAAATCTAGCGTTGAGAAACAGCTATATCGAGTTTAAATCGGGAAACGAAAAAAAGATATCTTCATTTTTGGAATTTGACAAAAGCCACTTTCTGCATCTAAAGTCAAAAATAAAAAATAGCAGATTTATTAATTTTTATCTTTAAATGAACCTTCTCCTCGTTCAAATATGGAGATTCGCATGTCTGATAAGCTATACATCTTTTCTCCTTCTTCAAATGAATTAAAGTTTAAAGGTATCTCCGGATTAAGTAATGCGTGTGTGTTATTAAAAGAAAAAAATATAAGGTTCGTTATTTTATTTTGTGCTTATACAAGTACATTTTGTATATTTAAAGAAAAAGAATCTTCAAAGATGCCAGGCTAATAATTATGTACGCCAGAAAGACGTTTCGTTTACATAAGACTCGGTCAGTAATTATAAAAGCTTATCGAAGATAACAGGCTTATAATTTGAAAGCAAGATTTCGTCTACATACGACTCATCAGATGCGCTCGAATGTATACATTTGAAAGGTCAAATCAAATACGAAATTGCAGAGCTTTTAAAAACCGAAAATTCCGAAATGTTGTTCCAAATACGACTAAGGAAATCTATACCTTGTGGTAGTAGTGTTTGGAATAACTCAACTTTTTAAATGCCGCAAATTTACAGAAAATGAACCTATAAATGATATTTCACGTCAACACAAAAGTGCTAACTACTGGGCTGGTGAAACCCAAGGGAACGAAACGTCCACCAGCAGTGACATCGAAATGTGTTGAATTTCTGTACTTACCACCATTAGGAATATGCATATTCATGGCTTCATCTTTCAGTGTATCTTCATGGTACCGTGTTGCTGACACAAACTTCAAAATAGAATAATCTGTGTAAGACTATAAGGAATGTAAACCTTTTAAATTACTAAGAACTGGGACAAAATGGCATTAATCAAATTATTGTAGATAAAGCAAAGACGTGTATCTTATTTAGGTGTAATACCACCGAAACATAGTACCTCACATCCGGTTTCATATTAAAAAAGGGTAGAAACAAGCATGTGTCCATAGTACACGGATGCCCCACTCGCACTATCATTTTCTATGTTCAGTGGACCGTGAAATTGGGGTCAAAACTGTAATTTGGCATTAAAATTAAAAAAATCATATCATAGGGAACATGTGTACTAAGTTTCAAGTTGATTGGACTTCAACTTCATCAAAAACTACCTTGACCACAAACTTAAACCTGAAGCGGGACAGACGGATGGACGGAGAACGAACGGACGCACAGATCAGAAAACATAATGCCCCTACTACTATCGTAGGTGGGGCATAAAAATAGTCCCATGAATTTGATAGTTGTAGGAAATTAACCCTGCATTTTATTGCAGAAAAAAATTCTGAGTCACAAACATATATTTTGGTTGTTTCAAAGCACCATCCCTTTTTTACTTAGTGTTCCAATAATATCAGTACATATATATCGGAAGAATATTTCTATGTTCTTGTTGGATTCTCCTAAAAAAACTACAACCGTTTTTCAGTGTTTTTAACATCGGTATTTTTGAACGGTGTAATCGACATGAGTATACATCCATTGTTGAAATGTACCTTATCGCCAAAATTAATTCTGAGTCAAAATGTCGGGTTCATTTAAATACTTCAAACCGTTAAATATCCTTGGAGTCTGTCAAATATTACTAAATTACAAAATTAAAATGAAGGCCTATTGACCATCTTCCTTATATTCGAAAGTCTTACAAATTGAAGCAGAGGATACATAGTTTTCCCCAGTTACCCCCTTCTCAAATTCGAAAAAAAAATGATATGTAGAGAATATATCTATTATGATGTAATGAAATTAATGATATCAACATAATATAAAACAATTATATCTGTTTGCCACATTGCTACAATTCTCATTTTCCAAAAGATTTCTTTTTCTTTATTTGATTTTTATTACGTTTTATTTTTATCATCATATTGAGTTTTTTGCTTTTTTTCACTTTGTTGTATGATTGTTTTGAGCATTTGAAAACTCCTTACTTATCTGAAATTATACCTTTCAAAGACTGATGCAAAGCCTCCCTGTTACAGAACATCTTGTTACAATATTTGCTACTAAGATTCCTTTGGAAGTAATGATTGATTTTCAATTTATTTCGTAAAATATCGGTTTAAAAAAATTAGGTCTATTTTGTCGATTATTTTTTGAATTTGTTATACGCTAATCTTTAAATCTGTCAAATTTGAACTGGATCTGTGTTAAAAAGTTCCTAACAAAATATTGAAGGATTCTGTTGAGGATTACTATTAAAGTTGTATGGGAACCAAATAATTTGCTATTATCATTCTTATCAAGGGGCATTATTATGGATATGAAAAACAAAATTTGTCAAATTCAAACTGATCTAAGTAAAGTGATCCAGAACAAAATAGTATGCTACATATGTTATACTCCTGGAGTTTTCTGGTGTTTATTATCAGAAAACAATGTGGTCCTACTAGTGCATAACTTTTCAAACTTCCAGATTGGGATATTTTAAGTTTTGTTGGGGGACAAAAAATGATAGGATTAAAAAAAAATGCGAAGGATACCAATGGGACATTTAAACTCATAAGTCGAAAATAAACTAACAACGCCATGGCTAATAAAGAAAAGGACAAACAGATAAACAATAGTACACAAAATACAACATAGAAAACCAAAGACTGAGCAACACGAACCCCACCAAAAACTGGGGGTGATCTCAGGTGCTCCGGAAGGGTAAGCAGATCCTGCTCCACATGTGACACCTGTCTTGTTAACTAAAGAAACCATGACCAAATTTGTATGGATCTGTTTAAATAGCCGTATGGTGACCCATAGTTGGTAATTTTTGTGTCATTTGTGATTCGAATTTTAACAAATTTCATGAAAGATAACGGACAAAAACTTTAATAAAGGTACATAGAATCGACATATTTTTGGAAACATCTTAACAAAAACTTTTATGTTTAACAATTGGATATTATAAAACGCAAAAAAAAGTATTAACAAAAATACCGAATTCCAAGGTATATTCAAAAAAAGAAAAAGCCCATAAGATCTGACAAAATCAAACGATCGACTATATCAACCAACGGAACCAATGAAAAACAATTGTCATATTCGCGACTTGGTACAACATTTTCCGAAGCAACTGGTGAGTTAATGTCCCTTGAATCCAAAATTATATGCTTGGCATGTGTCTTTTATGAACTTTTATTGTTCTAAAATGTTTTTTTTAAATGCCTAGCAACCATATATTGTTGTAACATTGTGACATAAACTTTGAGATGGTTTTGACATTTGCACATTTATCCGTTACAAATCCTTCAACTTCAATGTTATATGAACAATTTCTGTTTATGGCGGGTATTTGAAAAGTATGGTTTTGAGAGCTGAAAGTTTGATAACATATTTTCAGTATGCATAAAGTATTCGTTTCTTTTCTGTAATGCGTGGCTGATCTATTGATTGATTAATTGATTTATTGATTGGTGTTTATCGCCACTTTCAGCACTATTGCGATATTTCGTGGCGGTCAGTTTTTATTGCTGGAGGAAGCCGGAGAGTAAACCGACCCTCGGTAGGAAAACTGATAATTTTAGTCAATTAAGAAGATTGGAGTCGAGCGCACCTGCCATGTGAGGGATTCTAACTCACAACCTCAGTGTTGACAGGCTAGTAATATAGTAGTTCGAATACTTAGATTACTCGACCACCGAGGCTCCTGTGGCTGATCTATGTTAACACCGTGCACAAAATTATAAAAATATACAAAGTTTTTTATTTATGTTCCTCATTCCTTTCCGCATTTGGCTATACGTTTGATCCTTTTTGGTTTGACTGGTTCTGCAACGTTTGTTTAAGTTTTGGTTTTTCAAATATTTTGGCCTCGAGCATCACTGAAAAGACATTTACTGGCGAAATGCGCGCCTGATGCAGTAAAAAATTGGTACCGCTATTGTTATTTTTAAATCTATGTATAAAACAAAATGATTTTCTGAAGTTTACACAAATTATAAAAACGAATCAAAACATATTTCATTCGGGTTTCAAATCTGAAAATACCTAATGTGTAGTCGAACTTAATTTTCTTTCGCTGTGAAATACCGACCATTTAAGCGATAACGACAATGAATAACATAAAATTTGAAAACTAAGTTGAAAATATATATCCTTTTGTCGTTCAAGTCGTCAGTTGTGAATTCTTTAAACATATTAGTATGACGATTAAACGCTTTTTCGGCTGTAAAATATAAGAAATATCCTTACTCCTATAAGTTCATCTCCATGGAAGCAACCTCTGTTTAACTCTGGTGCTTCTGTGTGTCTATATGTAAGTTTGGCATGAGTGGCTGCTTCGTCCTCTGGATACCCTTTGACGAAAAGTAATTGTGTATAAAACAGAGTAATATTACACATAAGACGAACATAAGATGTGTTTTTCATATAGATAATTTTAAGAAGAAGGGGTCGTATAGGACGGTAAAACAAAGCTTTCTTCACGGCAATTGCGAAATTGCAGATTTTATACTGTCCAAAAGTTTTTTTCTCAATTAAAATCCTATTTTATCAGGGAAAAACTAGCCCTTATAATATATCTGACACGCAGAATACCATTTCAACAATTTTTTTTCAAAACACAAGCTGGTAAACATGTAGAGCTCTCATCACTCGCTTACTTGTCGAAGTTATAAGCAAAGCAAAATCACTGATTTTGTGTTATTTAGATTGTTCAAAACCTGAATTGCAATTGAAGGAACCAGGTGAGTATGACAGTTAAGATTAGTTATACATCTACAATAACTTTGGATCTGTTTACATGTCATCTTTCTGAGACAGGTGGAATTTTTGGGTCTGGTTTTAGTATTTAAAGGTTCCATGTGATGATATTTGCTTTATAAATTTGTGTGTAAGCATGAACCAAAAATGAATTAATCCTGAATTTCGTATAATTTGTTTACATATGTTCTCAATTCGCAATGTTTGTTTTTAATTTTTGTGCAACAATAGAAACAATTTAACCGATTTGTATTGTTATATGGATATTTATACCTGTTATCAGATAACTCCGATATTTAACACCAACGTGTTTATTTGATATTTTTAGATTAATGGGGTTGATAAAGAGTGAAATTAAATTGAACAATAAATGAATTTATTTATGGTATTTTCGCATGTAAAATGTTAACATTCTGTAGTTTCGGGATTTTGAACAGTTTTCGTATAAAATAACATACATCGTTTTTGATAAAGAGTAATAGATCTTTATTCCAGGAAGTCGTTGAATTTTCCTATTTCACAACATGAGAACAAAGAAACAAATATATCTCAAAAATGGAAACAACATTTTGGGGAAAAAAATCGTTTTTAAAAATTATATGTCCAATGCCTACAGTGGGTGATATTGTAATAAAAAAATCGGAAATCTAAGACGGCATTTAATGTTGCCTGTAAATATTTATTACAGAACTAAAACTAAAAAAATCGTTGTATATCTATAAAGAAAGCTAATATATTACTTGTTTTATCCTATGCCCTAGTTTTAGTAAAACGGCTATGTTGGTAGATAGGCGGGATTATTAATTCGATACTAGATTCTTAAAGGATGAGTGTGTTCAATTTGCCCTTCTGAATCAGTTGGTCCGACCATTAGTTTCACGGTGGCAATAGCTCATATTAGCCCTTTTGGACATGAGAGATCAAACAATTGGGGACTACACTTCACAATTCCGTATTTGTCATTCAAATCAATCTCTGTAAAACACTGAGACTGAGAAATGTTCTCACAGTATCCAGCAGTGTGTATAAACACACTAATCCCGATCTCAATGGGACCTTAAAATATCTCCATGTAGATTGTTAATGATAATCTCATTCATATTTCATGTTCAATGCTATCAGTTTGAAGTATAGTATTTATCTGATGTTACAGGCATATTTATTTAGTGCAAACAAAAACACCTTTAACATAGTTATCAAGACATATATAAATATAGTTTTATTTGACAACTTATTTATATCCCTCGTCTTATGATGTAGCTGTTTTTAAATTCTTTATTCGTACACACTCATACCATTATAAACATATTTTCTAAATTTGATTTCAGAATCTGCTCAAGGTTACAAAAAGTTACTAAATTTATTTCGTCAAGACTTTACTGTTTACTTGCATTTATTCGTTTGAAATCAAATATAGATATGCTACTCTGTGCAAAAAAGAAATTTTATGAAATTTAAACTTGGACTTAATATGTTACAGATAATTAATTATTGTTTGTGCAATCAAGTGTTGACAAAGTGATAATTGGTATACAAAGGACAGATCAATTTCATATAGTGATATTGGAAATATGAGAATGTGTAAATGACACAAAATACTAACAATTAAATGATACTTTATCCCGTCAACGTTTAACTCAATTAAAAAGATTCTCTTTTAATATTAACTTGGCAAAGTCTTATCCGAAGGCGTAAAACCAAGTGTAGATTTTCCGACTGATAAAACAGAGGCATACAATGCGAGTACTCCTACCAAAAAATTGATAATAAACAAAAATTTAATGATCTAAAGACAGTGCAACCATATCAAACCAATTTTCCTATCTTTATTTCAAAGATTCGTTCCTCGTCTCTGAATTTGCTGCCAATTTTAAAAAAAAAATCATCATTCACAATATATTCATCAAATGTATACATTAACAATTTAGATTCGAAGCGCTTTTCTGAAATAGTTTTTAAATAATCAGTTAAATCTGGGACTATTATATATATATATATGTTAGTATAGTAGTCCCAGGCTAAATATATACATGGATTTTAATTACAAATGAAAAATACAATACCTTCTTTTTCCAGAACAAAAGCATCATGTATATCTTCTTTGTGTAATGGCCTGATATCTAGATAATCAAACGTATACATATTGTCCGAATTCTTGTGACTTTAATTTCATATCAATGTTGGGCTGTCAGCTTTAAATACAGACATCGGGACACATCTGATTTTTTCTTCATTACGAACGGAATATTACTGTAGTAATGTGCGGATTTAAGGTACAACCAAATATTTTTAATGAGAAATCTAGTATTGGTATATACTTTTATAAGGGTTTTCAGAATTAAAAGGCATGCACATGAATAATGAAAATGATGTCATTATCATTTTCAACAAAATGAGGAGAAATCAGGAATATGTGAAATTTTGCTATGTATCTTCTGGGACATAATAATTTATATTGACAGTATAATAGTCCCATATATCTTAATATCCATTATTGGTAAAACATATATATATATTTAATAAAGTAAAGGGTTGCATGTCTTGTTATTGAAAGGCTGTTGTAACCTATTTCAAATACATTTAGAGGTCACAGATGAAAAAATAAAAGCTGTCTTAACGTTTGTGCCGTTCAACTTCATGAAAGCGTATTGACGTACAATATATCAATAAAATCAAGAGGAAAATATTGCGGATTTCGAAAAGATACGGATTTCCTTATGCACTGCACGAGTTTCCAAACTGATAACCTTCACCAAATACACTTGATACCTAATGTTTGGGAAGCCAAATACAAAACTAGCCCCCATCCTCACCCACCCCACCCAAATAAACACATTTCGGTGACACACATAAACAAAAACCACCACCAACCTTCCTATTGCGTTCTTGTTCCGTGACAGGTTTAACATGATTAAATGGTTTTCTAAATGGTACCCACGATGCATTAGCTCTTCAGGAGGCCCAGAAACAAAGAAACAAAAAATATATCCCAAAAATGGAAACAACATTTTGGGGAAAAAATTCTTTTTTAAAAATGATATGTCCAATGGCTACAGTAGGTCATATTGTAAAAAAATTGGAAATCTAAGACGGCATTTACTGTTGCCTGTGAATATTAATTACAGAACTAAAACTAAAAAAAATCGTTGTATATCTATAAAGAAAGCTAATATATTACTTGTTTAATTCTATGCCCTATTTTAAGTAAAACGGATATGTTGGTAGATAGGCGGGATTATTAATTCGATACTAGATTCTTGAAGGATGACTGTGTTCAATTTTCCCTTCTGAATCAGTTGGTCCATTAGTTTCACGGTGGCAATAGCTCATACTAGCCCTTTTGGCCATGAGAGACAAAACAATTGGAGGACTACACTTCACAATTCCGTATTTGTCATTCAAATCAATCTCTGTAAAACGGACTGAGAAATATTCTCACAGTATCCAGCAGTGTGTATAAACACACTAATCCCGATCTCAATAACTCAATGGGACCTTAAAATATCTCCATGTAGATTGTTAATGATAATCTCATTCATATTTCATGTCCAATGCTATCAGTTTGAAGTATAGTATTTATCTGATGTTACAGGCATATTTATTTAGTGCAAACAAAAACACCTTTAACATAGTTATCAAGACATATATAAATATAGTTTTATTTGACAACTTATTTATATCCCTTGCCTTATGATGTAGATGTTTTTAAATTCTTTATTCGTACACACTCATACCATTATAAACATATTTTCTAAATTTGATTTCAGAATCTGCTCAAGGTTACAAAAAGTTACTAAATTTATTTCGTCAAGACTTTACTGTTTACTTGCATTTATTCGTTTGAAATCAAATATAGATATGCTACTCTGTGCAAAAAGAAATTTAATGAAATTTAAACTTGGACTTAATATGTAACAGATAATTAATTATTGTGTGTGCAATCAAGTGTTGACAAAGTGATAATTGGTATACAAAGGACAGATCAATTTCATATAGTGATATTGGAAATATGAGAATGTGTAAATGACACAAAATACTAACAATTAAATGATACTTTATCCAGACAACGTTTAACTCAATTAAAAAGATTCTCTTTTAATATTAACTTGGCAAGTCTTATCCGAAGGCGTAAAACCAAGTGTAGATTTTCCGACTGATAAAACAGAGGCATACAATGCGAGTTCTCCTATCAAAAAAATTGATAATAAAAAAAAATTTAATCTAAATTTAGACAGTGCAACCATCTCAAACCAATTTTCCTATCTTTATTTCAAAGATTCGTTCCTTATCACTGCTGCCAATTTAAAAAAAAATCATCTTCCACGATATATTTATCAAATGTATACATTAGCAATTTAGATTCGAAGCGCTTTTCTGAAATAGTTTCTAAATTATCAGCTAAATCTGGGACTATTATATGTTAGTATAATAGTCCCAGGCTAAATATATACATGAATTTTAATTACAAATGAAAAATACAATACCTTCTTTTTCCAGAACAAAAGCAACACGTATATCTTCTTTGTGTAATGGCCTGATATCTAGATAATCAAACGTATACATATTGTCCGAATTCTTGTGACTTTAATTTCATATCAATGTTGGGCTGTCAGCTTTAAATACAGACATCGGGACACATCTGATTTTTTCTTCATTACGAACGGAATATTACTGTAGTAATGTGCGGATTTAAGGTACAACCAAATATTTTTAATGAGAAATCTAGTATTGGTATATACTTTTATAAGGGTTTTCGGAATTAAAAGTCATGCACATGAATAATGAAAATGATGTCGTTATCATTTTCAACAAAATGAGGAGAAATCAGTCAATATGTGAAATTTTGCTATGTATCTTCTGGGACATAATAATTTATATTGACAGTATAATAGTCCCAAATATCTTAATATCCATTATTGGTAAATATATATTAAATAAACTAAAGGGTTGCATGTCTTTTTATAAAGATTGTTGTAACCCATTTCAAATAAATTTAGAGGTCACAGATGAAAAATAAAAGCTGTCTGAACTTCATGAAAGCGTATTGACGTACAATATTTCAATAAAATCAAGAGGAAAATATAGCGGATTTCGAAAAGATACGGATGTCCTTATGCACTGCACGAGTTTCCAAACTAACAACATTCACCAAGTACACTCGATACCTAAGCCAAATACAAAACTAGCCTCATCCTCACCCACCCCACCCCAAAAAAAACACACAACGGTGACACACATAAACAAAAACCACCACCAGTGATAGGTTTAACATGATTTCTAAATAGTACCCACGATTCTTTAGCTCATCAGGAGGCCCAGTTTAATCGATTTAACGGTGTTTCGGGCCGTATAAATCTTAAAACTCCGTTCATTAAGCCCCAAGTTATGGGATGAAATAGACAAGATGGAATATGGCATGACACTAAATCCCTTTAAGCAATAAATAATTCAAACGATAAGAACAATACTAGCATTGCTGTTCTTCATCTTTATGTCAGAGTGAGGCCTTCAACACGTAGCAAAAACTATCAACTCATTGTAAGTTCAAGACGGTCCATATATAACGCCAATTTGAGTGCAAGTCTTTTGCTTCATGTGCACTAAAAGCAGGAAATAACCCGGCATGAATTTATTGTTTCCGATAAAGATATACCCAAATGATGACTGGGCTATCGAAATCCAGGACTACCACTCTGTAACCCAATCCTGTATGTTGACTGAAGGAGTTCCGGGTCAACTTAGTTAGATCTATCGGATGTATGAATAAGTGGCAGTGCATCCATTGCCCTACATCTTTGGCAACCCAATTTGTATAAACTATTTGTTCAAAAAATGTTATAGAATAAAATAGAATACGAAACTTTATTTTGATTCCGCGGCATATCATAAAACATACAAACATAAGCTCTGAGTGATGAGCTTTTTACCGAATATAAAAACGTATACAAAACAATCTCTCCGCGATATAATAGCCTTTTTGTGCTGATGCAGCGTAAAGCAATCACCAACCAATCGTACACAAAACAAGTAAAACAAATCATCATGCACATATAAGACATACAACTGAATAAAGCCAAGCAACAATCAAAATTTCAGATTTCTAGCAGTCTTATATTAAAATTTTATGAAAAAAAATGTTGATTATATTTTTCTCATCATGAATTTTCGCCAAATAATAGCCACTGAATTGTGGGGAAACAACAATTAATCGATCAATCAATTGATGAAAACAGTCATGTAATGCGGTATTCTAGAAATCTCGAAAGTAAAAATCACGGTTCTTGATTGAGTATTCTGAAATCTACATGGAAACATTATCTGGAGTGACACTGAGGTAATTTTAAATTGTTTGTATATGAAAATTAAAAACTGAAGGTCCTATAAAGATTAGTCAGTGAATTAACTTGGGTGATATGCCAATATGACAGTAAAACTGACATCATTGTCTTAAAAGACTAGTCTACAACTTTTTCATAGGCGGATCCAGGGGGGCCCTGGGTGGCCCGGGCCCCCCTTTCGTGGGAAAAATTTGGTTGATTATCTAGGGAATCACTGAAGCATGACGACACAATGGAAAAGTGATTGTTGTATGACGTCAAAAGTTCGAGCGGGACAGATTCTCGGGTCAAGCGGGATTAGCGATAAGGTGTAATGTTTTCTGATTTGTATAAACGCTCCACAGCTTTTTTTTTTATTCAAAAATTTACGCGAAGACCTTCTTTCGTTGAATGTATTTCTTATTTCTTCACGGTTATTCATTTTCTATCGATTTAGTCACATCTATTCGTTTTTTAATGAAGGAAATTAAATGTAGTGAAGTTAGTGTTAAAATCAACACGTTCCTATAGAATCTTTCGGAACACACCTAGGTTTTACCTTGCATTAGATTCTCACGCCGAAATGAATGACTTAAAGTCTTTAGCTACATATTTAAATGTCCCAGTCGCAAAATTATCTGTAGATCAAAAAGAGAAGGTAACAATTAATGAAAGAATTGATTCAGATGTAAAAACTACGCACTAAATCACTCATAGATGTGTCCAACCGAAGAACAACAAAAAGGGGGAGGGGTAATATCAGTTGTTTACAAGTTTGTTTCATGTATGCATGTCCCCCCTTTGTATAATATGATGGCCTTAATTATACAAAAGGTAGATAACTCTATATTGATTATAACCATAGCACTGGAGTACTGACGGCATGTGTGCAAGATATTAAAAAATTGATAAACTCTAGCTTTGGCCCTATTAAAAGTATTTTGAATACAAAGATTGTCATTAGATCACAGGCACACCTGACATCGACCTTCTTTTTCTGTGTTATTTCATCTTATCTTAATTCATTTAATGTGTTTGTGCTGTTGTTAATTTCCCAATTCCTTATATATATGTCACCAAGGTCCCACAGAGCACTGTTAGATAAGGGGGAGCTAACTCGTATGTGCTGGAACCAAGGGACAGGGGGTCAGTCTATCGCTAGACTTAATGTTCTGATAGGCATAGCTAAAACGCAAGGAAGGTTTTCATAATTTAATAAACGATAACAATTTAGACGAATGATGATAACAATCGATTAGTAAACAATGCCAAATAATAATAATAATTAAAGTACAAAGTATCAAATCTAAATATCAACTCCAAAGTAAAACTATTTCTCCTTACAATGTAAAATGTAAAATAAAGGCCAAAACTACTAAATCATAAAATGAACTTAATCTCAAAATCAAAATGTAAAAGTCTCAAAAATAAAAGATTCTCAAAAGTATTTTCCAAAGTTAAATTATGAGTCAGAGATAAATTTTGTCTCAACACTACAAAGTCAACTGGTCGACTGATCGACAGTCTTACAGATCCAGTATAATAGACTTTAGCAGTGCAAGTTTAGGTTCCGAAAAGATGACTGCTTTTCCTAAATTTCACAACGCTATTTATACTAAAACCAAAAACTAATCAACATGACACAATATGTAAATAGTACTCTCATTAGCAAAATAGAATATAATTAAACAAAGCATAATCCCTTCATGTTTTGATAAAAACTTAAAATATCCTAGTGACATGCTAATTACAATTAATATTTCAAACCAAATTACTTTGAGCAAACTGTGACATGTCGAGTACTTGCCACAAGATAGGTAAAATTTATTAAACAAAAATTAATTCAAAATTTTTACAAAATACAAACATTAAATTTTCTTTCTTAAAATAAAACATATTTTTTTATCAAAAATAACACTAACACAAATATAAGCCAAATAATACACCATGACATATTCCCCCTTACTCTTATATGTTTGTCCCCAAACAATAAACATTCACATTAGTAACACCTATAAAAATCTGAATACACTCTGTACAAACTATAACCTGGTGCCAAAAAATAAATATACCAACAATTTATTTCAACGTGCTAGCTTCCAGCAACCTGTATTCCTTGTAAGGGAATTTAACAGATGAATTATAATATAATATCCCTGTAATCCAAAATTCAAATTGATGTAGTAAAAAGAATCAACAGGCGTGCACTCCTACTAATTCCTAGAACTACAAAAAAAAGATAGAAACTGATTGTTTTCTATGTACTACAGTCTTGGAAGGTTGCTATGGTAACATGATAAGCACCATCATGATATTCACTAATGTCTAAATGATCTGAGTTGGTAATGTCAAAGTTCTGTTCTTTTAGTCTGTTTTTGCTTTGTTGTTTCACAAAAAGTTTAATCCAATAAATAAGCTCTAGCAAGTTATGTTAAAAAATTATGAATTTCTGCTAAGATGTCCAAAAGAAAGTTGAAGCACTATTTCTCTGATTATTGCATGCACTTCTCCACAGACACCTATTGCACTACTGATTGTTGATTTCTGTATCGCTGTAGTGGTGTTTAGACGATACAACTGATGTTGGCTGATACAGTTAAAAGAAGCTCCACTGTCTACTAAACATCTCACTTGAAGGTTCTCTAGTCCAATTTCAACAAAGTTCCTCTCCATGGTTGTTGTGAACTGGAAACTTGCTGTTCCTGGTATAACACTGGATAGCCTGGCACATCTGTCTTTTTTGCAGCACCATCCTTTTGAAATTCTCTTTCTTCCCATGATTTTTCTATTCCCATTACCAAACAGAAACTAAAAGGAATTTTTGTCAATATCTTGTTTATGTTATATTCTCTCTACTATGAGTCAAATTTCCCAATCATATAAAATTAATTGCACAAATAAAGTTTCTCCTGAACTGAACGTTAACTTCTGTAAAGTTGACAAATATTATAAAATTACAGATTCACACCAAGAATCAACATACATCTGTACTCTTCACTTAAAATGTTAAAGCGTAATATAATAAGCAAGATGTACTTATCTTTTAGTTGTGTGTTGTTGAATCTGCAACTTGTCTCTGCTGTTACTGGTTCTCTCTTCCTCTCATTGTCTCTCCTGCTGTTGTCTCAATTTTGAAAATTTAAGTTTTAGATAATTTTGAATGAATTTTGCCAACCTACATTCTAGCTATGCTGTGAATTTCCACAAGATAGGTAAAATTTATTAAACAAAAATTAATTCAAAATTTTTACAAAATACAAACATTAAATTTTCTTTCTTAAAATAAAACATATTTTTTTATCCAAAATAACACTAACACAAATATATAAGCCAAATAACACACCATGAAATATAGATGGGAAAGAGCATTTCTTCTTCTTCAGTTATACAACAAAACTTCAGGATACTGAAGATTACTTGTTGTTGCGCATGCATGTTAAAATTTAATTTTCTTGTAAATGCCAAAGAAAAAATTCATACAAATTTGACAATTTGTGCATGTATATTACAAAAACTAGTGATTAAAATAAAAATTATATACAAAAATTTATTGATTTAAATCAGTTGGCAGAGAACACCTTGTGTAAGGTGTGCTCTGAAACTGTCAACTGTGGTTGACTGTACTGTGGCTATAGGTAGCATGTTCCATTGTATGATGGTGTGTGGGGAAAATGACCACTTATATGTTTCCTTTGTGGTTCGTATATGTCTATAAGTATTTGGATGGTTTTGTCTTGTTCTACTGTCTGTTGGTATTAAAATTTCAGATGGTATGGCAATGAGGCCGTGAATTACTTTGTAAAATATAATAAGACGTGTTTTAAGGCGGCGTTCAGCTAATGTCGGTAGTTTTAAATTATTCATCATATTTGTAACGCTACTGGTGTTATGGTAGTTGTTACAAATGTACCTAGTTGCTCTTCTTTGAACCATTTCTATTTTTTGGGTAGCATCTTTTGTGTGAGGGTCCCATAAACTGCAGCTGTATTCTAATTTAGGTCTGACTATTGCTTGATATGCTCTTGATTTAATGTCTGTGTTTGATATTTTTATATTTCTTTTAAGGAATCCTAAAGATTTATTGCCGTTTGAGATAATGTTGTCATAATGTAGGTTCCATTTAAGATTTGATTGTAGAGTAACGCCCAGATATTTAGCAGATGTAACGGATTCAAGAATGTGACTATGAAGGATGTAATCATGTAAATATGGTTTCTTTTTATGTGAAATTGAAAGTTTAGTGCATTTATCAGGGTGGAAAGCCATAAACCAATCTGCTTCCCACTTTGCTGCAGCGTTTAGATCTTCTTGTAATTTATCACAGTCTGATTGAGATTTGATTTCTCTATATATGATGCTGTCATCAGCAAAGAGTCTTAATTTGCTATGTGTTAAATATTCAGAGAAGTCATTAATGTAAATGAGTACCCTGTGGGACTCCAGATGTAACTGGCACTGATGTAGAAGAAATACCATTTATTACAACTGTTTGTGTTCTAACGGATAAAAAAGCTTGGATCCATTTAAGTGTATTTTTCCTTATACCATAGTATTGAAGTTTGTAAAGTAATCGTTGGTGAGGAACTTTATCAAACGCTTTAGCAAAGTCCATAATGATAAGGTCAATTTGAATGTTACTATTATTACTAGATGATAGTTCTTGAATGAAGTCAATTAATTGTGATTCACAAGATTTAGAGTGGTTGGACAGCATTTTTTTTATAAATTAAGTAAATTTTAAAAAAGTAGGAAAAAACAGTTAACAACACAATCTACTAATCATAGTCCGAGTTTGTTCAATTAATAATGGTAGGGCGAGTTTGTTATAGTCCAAGTTTGTTTTAGTCCGAGTTTGTGATAGGCCGATTTTGTTTGAGTCTGAGTTATCCAGCAGCTTGATAAACTTGCACAATTATTAATATTATCTCTGCCTTTATGCAGTATGTTGCTCAATTTATAAAAAACTTCTTTGCAACATGTTTTTTTTTACAACAATTTTTTTTTAATTACAGATTTTAGTGTGGAAAGAAAAAGATGGGAGGACACTTAGAGGCCTCATTTCTATAGCAAAATATTTGTCTAGAAATTCATCACACCATAAAAAGTTTACAGGTATGCAGACATGCAACTGAATATTTATGGATATGTTGTAGGTCTAGTTGTTCATCTGTTGATAACATATAAATCACAGTTAAATCTTCAAACCTATGGTTGCTATGTTAATATACATTGTGTTTGTGTACTGTTTATGTTGATATTACTGAATTATGATTGTATCCTTGTCGTTGCCTCTAGAGGACCCACTTTTATCATCTTGTGTCATCATCTCATTGTCATATTTTTTTAATAGGAGAAACTATTGAAGAAAGAGCAGCAATTGACCAATGGTTGGAATACAGATTGAACAACATTGACAGAGCTCAACATGAAAAAGATACTAACACATTTATAAAGGTAATTTCTCAATCTATAGAGGTGTTGGGGGGAAAGCTATTGCCCCCTCCTCCCTAAAAAATCAGATTGCTGCAATAATGAACAAAACATGCAGAAAGATAATAAAACAGAAAAAAAAAAAACTGTAACGAAAAAAAAAACTACCAGGATTAGAATTTGTTCATCTCTCTAATCACCAAAGATTCTATATTGCATAAAAATGGATAACAGGAATAACAAAAAATAAAGGTACAGTACACCACAACAACGGTACAGTACACCACAACAACGGCACAGTACACCACAACAACACCTGACATGTATAAAGTGATGTAGATAATCAAAAATAAAGGTACAGTACACCACAACAACGGTACAGTACACCACAACAACACCTAACATGTCTAAAGTGATGTAGATAATCAAAAATAAAGGTACAGTACACCACAACAACACCTAACATGTCTAAAGTGATGTAGATAATCAAAAATAAAGGCAGAGTACACCACAACAACACCTAACATGTCTAAAGTGATGTAGATAATCAAAAATAAAGGTACAGTACACCACAACAACACCTAACATGTCTAAAGTGATGTAGATAATCAAAAATAAAGGTACAGTACACCACAACAACACTTAACATGTCTAAAGTGATGTAGATAATCAAAAATAAAGGTACAGTACACCACAACAACACCTAACATGTCTAAAGTGATGTAGATAATCAAAAATAAAGGCACATTACACCACAACAACACCTAACATGTCTAAAGTGATGTAGATAATCAAAAATAAAGGTACAGTACACCACAACAACACCTAACATGTCTAAAGTGATGTAGATAATCAAAAATAAAGGTACAGTACACCACAACAACACCTAACATGTCTAAAGTGATGTAGATAATCAAAAATAAAGGTACAGTACACCACAACAACACCTGACATGTCTAAAGTGATGTAGATAATCAAAAATAAAGACACAGTACACCACAACAACACCTAACATGTCTAAAGTGCTGTAGATAATCAAAAATAAAGGCACAGTACACCACAACAACACCTAACATGTCTAAAGTGATGTAGATAATCAAAAATAAAGGTACAGTTCACCACAACAACACCTAACATGTCTAAAGTGATGTAGATAATCAAAAATAAAGACACAGTACACCACAACAACACCTAACATGTCTAAAGTGCTGTAGATAATCAAAAATAAAGACACAGTACACCACAACAACACCTAACATGTCTAAAGTGCTGTAGATAATCAAAAATAAAGGTACAGTACACCACAACAACACCTGACATGTCTAAAGTGATGTAGATAATCAAAAATAAAGACACAGTACACCACAACAACACCTAACATGTCTAAAGTGCTGTAGATAATCAAAAATAAAGACACAGTACACCACAACAACACCTAACATGTCTAAAGTGATGTAGATAATCAAAAATAAAGGTACAGTACACCACAACAACACAAGTGATGTAGATAATCAAAAATAAAGGCATAATACACCACAACAACACTTAACATGTCTAAAGTGATGTAGATAATCAAAAATAAAGGTACAGTACACCACAACAACACCTAACATGTCTAAAGTGATGTAGATAATCAAAAATAAAGGTACAGTACACCACAACAACACCTAACATGTCTAAAGTGATGTAGATAATCAAAAATAAAGGTACAGTACACCACAACAACACCTAACATGTCTAAAGTGATGTAGATAATCAAAAATAAAGGCACAGTACACCACGACAACACCTAACATGTCTAAAGTGATGTAGATAATCAAAAATAAAGGTACAGTACACCACAACAACACCTAACATGTCTAAAGTGATGTAGATAATCAAAAATAAAGGTACAGTACACCACAACAACACCTAACATGTCTAAAGTGATGTAGATAATCAAAAATAAAGGCACAGTACACCACGACAACACCTAACATGTCTAAAGTGATGTAGATAATCAAAAATAAAGGTACAGTACACCACAACAACACCTGACATGCCTAAAGTGATGTAGATAATCAAAAATAAAGACACAGTACACCACAACAACACAAGTGATGTAGATAATCAAAAATAAAGGCATAATACACCACAACAACACCTAACATGTCTAAAGTGATGTAGATAATCAAAAATAAAGGTACAGTACACCACAACAACACCTAACATGTCTAAAGTGATGTAGATAATCAAAAATAAAGGCACAGTACACCACGACAACACCTAACATGTCTAAAGTGATGTAGATAATCAAAAATAAAGGTACAGTACACCACAACAACACCTGACATGCCTAAAGTGATGTAGATAATCAAAAATAAAGACACAGTACACCACAACAACACAAGTGATGTAGATAATCAAAAATAAAGGCATAATACACCACAACAACACCTAACATGCCTAAAGTGATGTAGATAATCAAAAATCTGTTCATAGTATTGCATTATTAAACATTTAAACAAGAAAACCAAAAAAATATGTTTGTATACATGTATTTCAAAATTATTGTATTGCCTCTTTTAAAGATCTGAAATTTCCTAGCATTCCTGTGACAAAAAAAAATTTATCAGCAGTACAAGACTCTTTATAGGAGTTATTGCTCTTGAATGATGAGTTTTGGCCAATTTTAATGATTTTGCCAATCATTTTGAACACTTTTAAAGATTAACAGAAACTCTTCAACCGAAAAATTGATAAGCAGAACATGATATACAAAAATGCCAATATGATGGATGCCACCAATTGACCAATGTCAAGTGTTTTTTTTATGAATGTATAAGGCCGATTGACCAGGTGTCAATCTGCGTAAATGACTTCATAGAACAGTCAACTCTTACTGTGACATAAAAACTTAAGCATTGTGACATCTGAAATGTATGGGAAAATGAACAATGTGAAAGTCGTCTATTGACTCCTTGGTAGATGGTTGCTGCTTAAAAGGAAGCTACTGAATCAAGCGGTAATTTTATGGACGCCATCATGAGTTGGTTGACTGTTCTGGAATACATGTATCTGTGTTACAGATGTCCACAGATATGTTCCATCCTATTTTCTTTGATTGTGACATCACTGAATTAGAAGGTATCTTCCGCCTCTTTTTGAAACTATAACTTTAATAACTGTTTAAAATACAAATTATGATAGATTTTTTTATTTGGAGACTTATCATCAGACATGTTTTGTTTAATTTTTTACAGGATATCAACACATACTTAGAAGATAAAGTGTATTTTGTTGGTCATCACTTGTCACTAGCAGATTTTCTACTTTATTATGGCCTACACAACTTATTTGTAAGTACTTTTATATGTATGTAATTTATTTAAAATCTATACAATTTGATACTTGAAGTATAATCAAGAAAACAAAACTGTCCAATATGAATGAATATATATATATACTAGTAACTTTTAACTGAAGTGTAACTCACCAGTTTTGTTAGTACTACTGTAATTACATGTAATTCAAATGAAGCTCTTCACATACATGTACACATTAGATTGAAGTCTAGAATACAAAGTTACTGTTTGAACCTGAGTTTTCCTTCAGGTTTCCATCGGTCTTTTTATTAAAAATGATGAAAAGAGCATACATATATTTTATGTATTTGGTGCAAATGAATCACAAAGTTGCAAACATTCATAAGTAATTAAACTATGTAAATATGTGTATCATTTGTATCATTTCAGAGAGATTTAACCTTTTATGAAAAACAGAAATACATGCATTTATCAAGATGGTTTGACAATGTAAGTAAACCTTCTTTCAGATTTAAACAATTGTCAATAGATAAGAATCATACAAGGAATACAGAACTTTCACATCTAATTTTGTCTTCTATATTATACAAACTGTATCTGTTGTGAACAAATAAAAATATGTATCATATTTATAACAACAGACAACACTTTAAATTTTAATATTGTTAAAAAACATAAGCTTTACTGTGATTCAGTTTTTGTCGAGCTAGCCACTTCTATCACAGAAAGCAAGACACAGAGATAGTGATCGGGCAGCAGCGGCGTTAAATAACTAATTATAAGCTTACTATTTCAGAGGGTAGAAGACCGTTTGTCATATGTCCATTGTCCTTGACCTCATTTTTATGGGTCAGTGACTATTTGAAAAAAAAAGATGATTTTTTGTAATGTTAATTTCTCTCTTATTATGAGTAATAGGATAACTATATTTAGTGTGCGTACCTTGAAAGGTCCTCATGCCCGTCAGACAGTTTTCCCTTTACCTTGACCTCATTTCATTGATCAGTGAACAAGATTAAGTTTTTGTGGTAAAATCCATATCTCAGATACTATAAGCAATAGGTCTACTATATTTTGTGTATGGAATGATTGTAAGTTTTCTGGCAACTGGCAGGTTTTTTCTGACCTTGACTTCATTTTCATTGTTCAGTCGTTAAAGTTATTTTTTTATGTTTTGCTCTGTTTTTCTAATATGTTATGCAATATGTCAACTATATTTTACCATGTACATGTCAGTCTGGTAGGTTTTATTTGACCTTGACCTCATTTTCATAGTTCATTGCTCAATGTCAAGTCTTTTTTGTTTTGGTTTGTTTTTCTTACTATAAGCAATATCTCAACAGTATTTGGTGTATGGAATGATTGTAGAGTGTGTATGTCTGTCTTGCAGGTATCATCTGACTTTGACCTCATTTTCATGGCTCATTGGTCTATATTAAGTTTTCCTGGTTAAGTTTGTTTCTTAGATACTATATGTAATAGGTCAACTATATTTGATGCATGGAATGATTGTAAGGTGTACATGTCTGTCTGGCAGGGTTCATCTGACCTTGACCTCATTTTCTAGGATCATGTTAAGTTTTTGTGATACTTGTAGTAAACATTTAGGTTTAGGACTATCAACATAAAATCAATGGTCAGTACAGCAGGTGAGACATTTCAGCATGTGCTCTCTTGTTGGATAATGAAATTATTTCCTTGTAAAGGTCAATAAGGTCTATTCCTATCTGATTGGCAATGATTCTTAGGAGAACATCAAAATTACTTGACATTTCTCCCAGTCTATACCTTTTTTTGTCAGATCCTACAAATTTGATATGTCGATGAATTATTTTAATCATGAATATGCATGAAGTATTTGAAACTGGTCATTTAGTAAACAACCAACAATCTTTTTTTATGCCCCCGCCAAAGCGGATACATCCATACGTCCCAAAGTTGGTTTCCGTTCTCTAACTTTAGTTTGCCTCAACCAAATGTTATGAAACTTATACAAAATGCTTATTACCACAAAATACAGAAAAGTTTGAATTTTGATGGCGTCACTTCAACCGTTCTAGAGTTATGCCCCTTTACAAATGGAAAAATTGCTGAATTTTTCGTTTCCGTTCTCTAACTTTAGTTTGCCTCAACCAAATGTTATGAAACTTATACACAATGCTTATTACCACAAAACACAGATCAAGTACACATTTTGGGTAGTGTCACTTTTACCGTTCTTCAGTTATGTCCCTTTATAACTTTATATGATATGGAAGCGGGGGCATTATTTGTGTCCTATGGACACATTCTCCATTTATTTTATTAGAAAAAAATGAACAGAACATTTAGCAACTAACAATAAAATTTAATCATCACTGATAGCTTGAGATTATTTTCAACTTTTTACTTGTAGGTTCAGCATGCAGAAAATGTCAGACAGACACAGACTTTGATACCATTTCAGAAAAATATACTGTACTCTGGATCAGCACATTAACATCATCTTATTATTAATAAAATTTGTTTTGTTTTACTCAGTGCTGTTGGTCCCATTGTTTTCAACACTTCATTGCTTCATATGCTCTACACACACTCAGGACATTTTTTTAACAGTCGAGGAAAGTTTTTAAGAATTAAAATAGTAGCAAATAAACCAAACAAGGGCATGTTGTTTTAGACAAAGCCAATAAATGTTAAACGTTAAGCTAGTAAATTTATGTGTATTTATAATCTCACCTGGTTCTTCAGATTGAGCATTTGTCATGATCATCTTCTTGTTCAGAATAGGCTGTTAAAATGATACCAAAATTTGTGTCTAGTTTGATTTTGAGGTCGAAAGGGATTATTGTTGTGACTGACAAATTTCTGAACAGTGAAAGGTGAAATGCATAAAACATTTGCATTATATATAACGTTTTTAAATCTTAATTAAGGAACATACTTTATACCTGGAATTATGGAATAGGAATCACTATAGTAGAGTACTTCGAAGGGGGGTCATTGTAGATAAATTTGATCCCAGAGATGATGAAATACACCTCCCCCTCCTAAAAAAAATTCTGTGTTTGTTTTTGGTAAAAAAAAAAAACAAATATCGTTTTTGGACAAGTTGGACAAAGTCCAAAACTGGCTTACAGTATATGATGCGGACAGGAAGGGATTAGAGTGTATCCATTTTGTGTTATTGACTCTTACAACTTTCAATCCAAATCCCTGCAACCATTTGAATATTTGATCCATTTTATTCGTCTTTATAAAGGTCAATTTAAAATTTAGCCAATGGACTACAAAGATCAAATATGTATTGATCAATTTGAAGATTGCTTAACATCTAGCATTTTAGCAGTAAATAGTCATGCAAAATTAGAACTACACCTTGTAATTGTGATATGAAGTTACTACTCTGTTTTGTACTTTACTTGAATTTTGAATGCCAATTCACAAGAGAGAGAAACTATAAACAACAGGATAAGATATACAAACAAGTCTACCATACTAAAAAAGAGAAAATGTAAATAGCAAAAAAGTTCAACAAAGTAAGATCTACAAATATGGCAACATAACCGAAATTATTCATAAACCCCTAGGCCTTTTATGAGTAATTTCCTTTGAAAGTAGATGTTTACCCGTTTTTGTGTTTGTGAACTTTAATACAAAGAAACTGCTACAGTAAAAATGCATGATACGATCAACCAATAAGTCACCATGACTGAAACTGTCAATCGACTCCTTGTGTATGTTATTGCTACTGTAAAGCATTATTTTGCATTTTTGTCGGAAACTTTTATAGAGTATAAAGAAAAACTGAATGGCAAAACGATCAGCAAATAAGTCAACAAATATTAAAGAAATTGTCGATCCACTCCTTCAAAGAGTAATTTCTCTTAAACATTAAATGTTTCCACAATTTTGTACATTTTGCAATTATCGTGAAAAATGTAATAGACCGAGAGAAAAAGGTATAAAACAGCAAAAATTATCTGCAAGATCTACAAATATATGAAAATTAACGAAATTGTCAATTTGGTCCTTTTAGAGGTTGATTAAAAAAAATTAAAAGGGCAATATTTACTCATTAGACAATAATAAACAAAAAATGATCAGCTAGATATAAAGATCTAAAAATAATGAAACAGCTTATTGCAACTAAAGTGAAAAGTAACATGGCGTATTTTTGCAAGCTATGATCCTCTGGTAATTTCAATTTCTCTAGTGAGCCTTCTGGTTGGGTAAAAAAAAAGTTTAGAGTTGAGATCTAAAAATAATTTTTAACCACAACACCGATGATATCCAAGTCGTAAGCTCGTCAGATGTTGTCTTATGTCACACCAAGTTTCTGAAATTTAAAGACTGACTTGATGTTGATGGCAGATCTTTGATAGTTTCTTTTCAATTTATTCATACCTTTTTTTAGACCAGTGAAGCGCTGGGCATATAGTATAAAACCTTTCTATTGTTGAAGACTGTTTGTTGCTCTCTAGATGTCTTTTTGTAGTTAGGTTGCTGTCTCATTGACTTGTACCCAATATCTTCTATTGTTCACATTAAATTGCTTTCGAACAGAGTCCCAAAAATGCAATTAATCTTGTTTAGACAAATCAAGACAGTGGTTCGCTATACCCTCTTTACCCGTCTGATCGGATATATTCATTAATACCGGTATCGTTGAAAAGCAGATATGAGATGAACATGAAATTTATATGTAAATAAATGTTTTGCATTCATTTTCATTTGTGCCGAAAAAAATACACACCTTTAGAACCTCATTCAGAAAAGATTTTGACAAGTTTAACCAGTGCAGTGCAGGTTATGTGTTAATGAATACACCTTAGTTGTTGTTATGTTGTGCTGCTACACAGCTGTTCTAGATTATGGGAGGGTTGAGCACTCACAAAAAACGTTTGACCCTGGCACTGTAGGCAGAGCACGCCCCACTAAAATTTTACTTTATTTAGCATAAATTAAAACACATTAGAAAATATACGCTCGCTCCACTCGTGTTGCTATGTACAATGTTAGTCACTGCAGTGTAAAAAATATTTAAAAACAAAAAAGATTTGCAAAAACCTGAGACTACAAGTACTACTCAGTCTCAACTAATATGATATAAAACATAAGAGATTTGGTACGATTGCTAATGGAATTACTATCCATCAGATTCAAAATGAAGTGGATGTAAGCAACTATATATAAGGGGCCGTACGGACTTCAGTAGTAAGCAAAACCATCAGCTTTAAAAGGCCCCGACATGACAAAATGTAAAACAATTCAAACGAGAAAACTAACGGCCAGATTTATAACAAAACAATTAACGAAAAGCAATTAGACAGACATGAACGAACAACAACCAATGAATTACAAGCTCCCGACTTGGAACAGACACAAAGAATGAGACAGGATCAAATATGTTTGTGAGCGACCAAAGTCCCCATACCTCGTACAGCGGTTTAGCAACACAACATAAGAACAAAATGTAAAAATCAGTTGAAAATAGCCTTAGCACAACTGTTTAGTACAAAGCACAAATACAACCAACATAACTAAACATTCCTTACATGATTACGTGATCGCCCCCGGTATTGGTGGGGTTCGTGTAGCTCAGGCTTTAGTTTTCTATGTTGTGTTTTGTATACCTGTTGTTTGTCGTTTGGTCGTTTTTCAATTTTTTTTTTTTTTTTGCCATTACATTTTACAGTTCGTTTTTGACTTATCCCTTTGGTATCTTTTGCCTCTCTTTTACATAAGTATTCAATTGTTCATACGATAAAGAACGTGAAGGCTGGTTTAAAATAGAAACATATTTTCTATTTAAATGTTTTAATTGACGCAAGGATTTCAGTACAGTAGGACGGAGTTGACCGGGTTTATGATTAATATTTTAGTGAGACCATTAATTGCTCCTGTGATGTGAAAATGTGTCACACATTTCAAAGCTACAGATTTTCGTGTAATTTACCATGCACGTCTGTAGAATAAGAAGGAATATAGTTTGTTATATTGTTCTTCTGCTATTGTTATTTTGTTGTGTGTTTATTTATCTACGAAGACCAAAAAGGGAGGTAACTCATTGTTTTTAATATAGTGTGCTAAAATCAATATTTCTCATTTGATTTCTCTTTTATATTCATAATTCAGATTGTTTTTAAAATAATGAATGAATTTCAATTAAACATGACCCTTTTCATGAAGTAAATTCAGGGGGTTTAAGATGTACGGTTATTTGTAAAATTTACATGCGGAAATCGCTATTTAAGTTAAAACGGCGCGAAAGTATAATTTTTAAGACTCGCTGTTAAACTGTAAAAACTCATCATAGATCAGAATTAAAATTTTGTACGCCAGACGCGCGTTCAGTCTACAAAAGACTCATCAGAGACGCTCGAATCAAAAAAGTTAAAAAGGCCAAAATTGTACGAAGTTGAAGGTCAAAATTCCGAAAGGTTTTCCCAAATAAAGCCAAGATAATCTATTCCTGGGGTAGAAAATCCGTAGTATTTCGAAAAATTCTTTTGTAAACAGTTAATTTATAGTTATGACCAGATCAATGATAATTCAGGTCACCAACGAAGTGCTGACTCCTGGGCTGGTGATAACAGGATTTCGAAGCAAGATGCAAACTGTAATGGAAAGACTTATGATCGACATACAGCTTTTAAGATATATTGCTGTCTTTTGAAAAGTAGCAGCAATGATCCAGACTCTCTTGTTTCCAGCTTTTGCCGACAAGAAGAAGATTACAGTTATGTTTTAGATAAACCTGGGAATAGTATACTGTATAGATAAAACTTCCTTTCTAGTTTTTAATTAACAGCATGAGTAATTATTATCTTAATAGTTATTACAATTTTGTTCCATAGATAGCCCGAATAAATAAAAATCTTTATTTTTATGATTTATAAGGAAAGTTTACATGTGCAGACAGAAAATCAAATCTGGAAGGAAAAATGTTTGCTACCATCTAAAGTAGAATTACCAAACCTGCCTCACTCCAAACTGGCATCATTATACCACGAGTAAGTATTAAATTAAGATGTAACAACTTGCTTGAATTCGATTAAGAAAGATATGGGCGGAGGGTGCAACATAGTTATTGGCTTTATAAATCGTAGCGCGATTTTTTTCAGACACCCTACAAATTTACCACTTGTGTTAATTTTATTAAAACTTGCATTAATTTGAATATAAGACAGTAATATCAGAAATATAGAACATTGTAGCCAAAATTCGAAGCGTACTTTATGTCACAAACGTATTACATACTTGTTCGAACTTTGTTACCCTTAAACGAAATTGTTTCAAACGGTGTTTCAACAGCTAATATGACCATTATTTACAGGAACCACCCCTCCCCTCCACTTCCAAAAAAAAAAAAAAGAAATGAGACGAAAGTGCAGATATCGCAAGACTAATTACCTTGTATTTCCCCCAGATTCTAAGGAAAATAGACACAATAGAAGAAATGGTCTTTGGTTTTAACCTTTCTTAAATAGCAAATTATTAGACATACTGTTTATTGTTTGAATTATACTATTAAAACTTAAACTTGATCAAAAAGTAATGCATTATCATTTTCATTTTTAATTAGGATCAAACATTTCAAAAGTACTTGAGCGTGTTTCAGGTCATATTTGAAACTCTTACTTCACCGATGATAATTTATTTTTTCACTTAAAACCATTATTGATCTCAATTTTAATCATCTTGATATCTGGCTGAAAAAGAATTATGTGTACATATTTCATTGCAATGACTTGTGCGAAATATAAGCTCATGATTTTAACATTCACAGAGCACAGACGTCGCTTGAAACAATTTAAACAATCGAGATATGTAAAGACACATGTAGACCAAATAAAAAATGATGAAATTTACATCAAACACTTATTTCTAAATAATTTCATTTTCAGTCTTTTCAGTCATAAATTTGGGAACATTAACAAAAATCAAACTTTATAAAGCTCATGACGCATTCGCAAATAATGTAGTCTATTAAAAACTTCCCTTCACGAATAAATAAAATAGAAATGGTAGTTTACGTGCTAGGGAGCGATGATCAGTGATAGATATAAAAAAATCAGAAATGTAGATTTGGAAGTTTGGCTGTACCTGTAGAAATAATTGAATACACATACTTAACATACGTTGCTTTCCATTTATGAAAACGTATGTCTCTTCAACCTTTGATACTCATATTTTAGCATTACACAAGGTCATGCTTTCCTCAGGCTACAATAAATCCATTGGTGATGTACTGATTGTTTTTTCAGCTCGAGATAACATATTTTATTTATTAAATACAATTGGACTTTGAACTAGCATTCAATAACTTCGAATTCTCTTAGATCGTACCTTTTTTTTTGTAGATGAACCCTTTCCAATTTATTTTTATTGTTCTAATGTTCTGATGTTACACCTCTGTTACAGGTTAGAGGGTCAGTCGAGCACTCGTACACTCACACACAACGCCTATTTGTTTATGTACCTTTCATAAACATTGAGCATGTAGTCCAGTGGTTGTCTGTGATTGCCGCCTGTCATAACTGATTTTCGTTTAATGTGAACTTGCACACTGGTATTTTTTCACTTCGTGTATCTATGAAGTTGATTACACTGATATAAACAGAAGTTACAACCTCTTAAAACATTTCTAAATTTTATTTTTTTTTCGAATTGCTTAATTTGTTTTTCAAAATTTGAAATAGGAAAATTGTTTATTAGCAAATATATTGCACATACTATAAATGTAAATTTAAGTGAAAAAAAAAAAAACATAAAATAAATTCCATTTTTTCCGTTTTTAAAGTATCTCTTATCTGAGGGATAATATTATTTTTGAAACTATTTTTCACTTTGATCGGTTGTCCATTATTTTAGGGTCAAAAGTTTGTTCTCTCACTCAACATGAATATAAAAGATGATGAAAATAACAATTCATAAATTTCGTGCTTCCGAAGCGCTTTTCTGGAGTTACCTTCATTTGAAACGATCAAACTTTAAAAACAATTGAAAGCCAAGGACGTAAACAAACGTTTCAACGTTACCAAAAGATGCATAGAGAAAATAGTCAAATTCCTCTATGGTCAACTTTTCCTAATGGAGTTGGAACCTGAGTTTCTTAATAATTTCTTAATTTATCAGCGGGAATTTCTAGAATAGATTTAACATGTCACTAACGAAGCACTGTCCACTGAGCTGATGGTACCATCTGGGACTTAAAATCCACCAGTAGTGGTATTGACCCAGTGCTAGTAAATGAAATAAAACTTTATAAATTTCGTGCGTCCTAAGAGCTTCTGGATTTACCTTCATCAGGATCTGTCTATATAAAAGAATGTATGAATATTTAGCAACGAAAAGAGCTATATGACCAAAAGATAATAAAAAAGAATAGCCTAAATCTCCTATGGTCAACTTTGCCTTAGGGAATTGGAACCTTAGTTTCTTAATAATTTCTCAATTCGTCAACGGGGAATTCTAGAATAGTTTAGTAACAAATCATGTCAGTATAGAAGCAACGGGTTGATGATACCCTCGGGACACTGATAGTCCAACAACAGTGGTATTGACCTAGTCCTAGTAAATGAAAATAACAATTTATAGATTTCGTTCATCCGAAACGCTTTGTTGGATTAACCTTCACAATAAATTCTGGAATATTTTTGTTTGACTCATTTTACTCTGTTGACACACCCGGTCTCGCTCCTTTTATAGTTTATGTGATTCCAATCTAATTAAAATATAGATCTCTGATTTCGTTATGCTCATTTGAGCTTCGATGCAAGTTACGATAGATCTGAGTTTTGATCAGATTGTTGTGAATCCCTCAGATTTTGTTTGTTACCTTGATTTGTCTCTTCCTTCTCGATCAATGAGTTTTGACCATCGTTAAACTACTGTCGTCTTAATTTGTTATGAATATTAATTTTTCTTTACCTTGCATTTGCAGATATGAAACATACCGAATTTGCCGAGTTCGAAATTCCATTTTTTTGATAAACAAGTTCTTTGATTTACCTCTAACTGATGAAATCTATTGGTTTTGGACTGACAGTTCCATTCGCACAGAAGCCAGTGCTTTAACGATGACCACGATTTATGACATTCATTTCGATAAACATTCAGTAAATCAAAACAACTTTTGAAAATTGACCTCAGAGGGCCCGCACTAATCTTGTTTCAAATATATATGATGTTTATCTACATCATTAGAGTAAATAAAAACTAACCGAAGATGTCAGGCTTATTATTTTGTATGCTTAACGCACATTTCGTCTACTGAAGATTCATCAATAAAGAGTATTCCTGGTGATAGTTAATTAGTATTAGCTTCTTGAACGCTGTGAATTTAATAGTTATTTAAGACTGTAAACAAATTTCGTGGACTTTTGTTCGTGCTCAAAAAATTAATACTTGAACTTGTTATCTGTAGATACATTTCAAGCTTACAGTTCGGATGTGACAGTATCATACGACTAGGAGAGGAAGCCGATGGCGGTTGGGATATCTGTGATGATACCCCATACAGACCAGGCGCCCAGTGCCTTGTGTATTCCTTTGGGTAAGTTTAGTTTTCCTTTGGGATGTCGGTTTGGAAATCTGTGATGATCCTCCATACAGACTAAGTAATCAGTGACTTGTGCAATCCTTTGGGTAAGTTTAGTTTTTCCTTTGTGATGTTGGTTTGGAAATTGGTGGTGTTGTGACATACTGACTAGGCTTAAGTTCAGGTTTCTTTTGGGATGCCGATTTGGAAATCTGTGTTGAAACTTCATACAGACCAGGTGCTCAGTGTTTTGTATATACCTTGTGTAGTCGTTCAGTTTTCCTTTGGGATGTCGGTTTTGAAATCTGTGATGATATGCAATACAGACCAGGTGATCTTGTGTTTACCTTTTGGATGTCGATTTGGATATCTGTGATGATATGCCATACAGAAAAGGCGCTCAGTGCCTTGTGTTTTCCTTTGGGTAAAGTTCATGTTTCCATTGGGATGTCAGTTTGGATGATCTGTGATGATATGCCATACAGAAAAGGCGCTCAGTGCCTTGTGTTTTCCTTTGGGTAAAGTTCATGTTTCCATTGGGATGTCAGTTTGGATGATCTGTGATGATATGCCATACAGAAAAGCGCTCAGTGCCTTGTATATACCTTTGAATAAGTTCAGTTTTATGTTTTAACAACGTCGCTTGTGTAGCAATGCAAATAAACAATTAATTTACATTAAAGAAGTGGGCTTTATTGACTTTCCCACCCAACAGTGAGATCATTGCTGATGTGTGATCGTTGGCTGTTCGGAATGTGTAGCTACACAGCCATATCCTGTCGAATTTAGGAAATAAAAACTAAGGTAAATATTGCAATCGGGGAACAAAAAAAGATTACTAGAAAACGAAAGAATAAGCATTTATTCATTTGATCAAAAATTCAAAGTTCTGTGAAGAATTTAAATTTCATTCAAAGGGAATAAGATTTAAAACTGGGAGTATGACCTTCATTTTCTGAAATACTAGTATTTTGCATTGGTTCTAAATATCGTTTTAAGAGGAACAAATATTACTTCTGAAATAAATATTTCGAGAGAATAAAATATTAGCGAGGCAACCAAATATTGATACAAAACATGTTTGACTGATCTGGATTTCATCTTTAATTTTTTTTATTTACTGATGGTCTTTATTTAGATAAATTTATATTCAAATTTAAGATACTAATATATTCAAATTTAAGATACTAAGGTGTGGAAGGACCTTGACTATCTGACTTTGACATCTATTTAATTAAATGCATGGTAATGCAAGTTGTTACTCAATAGCGTCTTTGGTTTAATTTGTTTTGAAAATAACAAATATCTTGTATGCACGTCCTTGTTACATTCTAGTATGGTATGTATTATTATAACACAGTTTCTACACAGCATAATAAATGTAGTATAGAATGCGATTTACTACTTCTTCATACAGTAGATCATCTTTTGGTCAGGCTACATCTTTGTCGTATTTTTGATTTAAAATTTCAGAATAGATTATGATTTTAGCTTTGACGATGCCATCGCCAAGAAGTATGGATGTGAGGTGCACTCGTTTGATCCAAGGTATACTATTCCAAATTGAAATTTTCATAGAGAATAATCACCTTACATTCTTATAGTTACTAGTCATATATTTCCATTAGAAGTTTCAGAAATTATTGGATATGATGGATAATAGTTTCAGACACCATTGGGTATCATGGATAGTGTCTGCCATATCTCCTAATAAAATAAAATCTGGCATTATACAAAAAAGCATATATAAAATAAATTGCTTTAATTAACGTTAAATGTAATTATTAAGAGGTAATATCATAATGCACTTGTTTTCAACTTTCAAGTTTAGATTTTTCCCGGTAGGTAAGTTAAAATGAAAGCCTTTATATTTTTGTAGTATGAAAGTAAAAGAGGGACTTAGGACAAAAAATGTCTGGTTCCATCCGTATGCTATAGGACCAAATACACAGATACAACGTGGTAGTCATTGGCCAATGTTTACCCTAAAAGATTTAAAGATCAAACTGAACCATCAAAATGTAAGTGTGTCTAGTATTATTTAGTAAATTTTGTTTATAAATCTGCCATTAATCGAAAAAATTAAATTAAATTTAACACTTAAAAAAAAATCCACAGTACTAAATAATCATAAAAAATAACAATTGTATCCTCCAAAATTTAGTCTGAAATAATAAAGATAAAGAACTGTCAGGACCTATTCTATGGTAAAATTTTCCAAAACTGTTCTAGGGTAGAACTGATAAATGCTGCTCTAGTGTAGAACAGTCCGCATTTGCTCTGGAAAGAACTGCCGTAGAACAGTTTCTGTCACAAACTGTTCTAAAAAGGCGTCAGGAGAGCTGTTTAACGACTGTTCTAGAACACTACTGACAGTGCTTGTATATTATAAAAGAGGTAAGAACTAAAACCGACTATACTGGAAGAACGATATAACATTTATTTGTGGACTAAAATAGAGAATGGAAACGGTGCATTTGTCAAAGAGAAAACAACCTGACCAAAGAGCAGAAAAGAGCCCAAGTCTTCATGTGAAAGGCTCGATACTTAAAACTTTGTAAAATTTTTCATTTAATCCTCACCTTTTTATAGTATTTATGATTTATGCAGTAACAAGCCAGGCAAGCGGTTAAGGCTTAGATGATCATTAAGCATACTCCCTGTCAATTGTTATAGTTAGGCATACTAGTAGTATGTTTATGTATGATTATAAAAAACGTGGACAATGCTATAACATAATATCTTTACTAATAGCAACGTGAATGGACTATATTGTGTCATAGATCAAATTTATTCGTTCAGCGTATGTTCACTTGTTTTTGTTAATATGTCTTTTGATTGAGTTAAGCCATTTCAATTGATATTTTCTAGTGTGTCTTTCTATGTTGTGATGTTACACTATTGTTTCAGGTAGGGTGAAGGTTAGTACCTATTAAAACGTTTAAACCCGCTGCATTTGTTTGCACCAGTCCTAAGTCAGGAACCTGATGTTCAATGGTTTTTGTTTGTTGATGTGGTTCATATGGTTCATAAGTGTTTCTCGTTTCTCGTTTTTTATTGTCGAGCCTGCGACTTTTGTCGCAGAAAGCTCGACATAGGGATAGTGATCCGGCGGCGGCGGCGTTAGCTAACTTCTTAAAAGCTTTATATTTTAGAAGGTGGAAGGTCTGGATGCTTCATACTTTGTATATGGATGCCTCATGTTACGAAGTTTCCGTCAGTCACATGTCCAATGTCCTTGACCTCATTTTCAAGGTTCAGTGACTACTTGAAAAAAAAGTTAAGATTTTTTGTAATGTTAGATTCTCTCTTATTATAAGTAATAGGATAACTATATTTGGTATGTGCGTACCTTGCAAGGTCCTCATGCCCGTCAGACAGTTTTCACTTGACCTCGACCTCATTTCATGGATCAGTGAACAAGGTTAAGTTTTGGTGGTCAAGTCCATATCTCAGATACTATAAGCAATAGGTCTAGTATATTCGGTGAATGGAAGGACTGTAAGGTGTACATGTCCAACTGGCAGGTGTCATCTGACCTTGACCTCATTTTCATGGTTCAGTGGTTATAGTTAAGTTTTTGTGTTTTGGTCTGTTTTTCTTATACTGTATGCCATAGGTCTACTATATTTGGTGTATGGAATGATTGTAAGGTGTACATGTCTAGCGGGCAGGTGTCATCTGACCTTGACCTCATTTTTCATGGTTCAGTGGTCAAAGTTAAGTTTTTGAGTTTTGGTCTTTTTTTCTAATACTATATACAATAGTTCAGCTATATTTGGTGTATGGAAATATTTTATGATCTATTTGGCAGTCACGCAGGTTTTATTTGACCTTGACCTCATTTTCAAGGTTCATTGCTCAGTGTTAAGTTTTTGTGTTTTGGTCTGTTTTTCTTAAACTATAAGCAATAGGTCAACTATATTTGTTGTATGGAAGAATTGTTAGCTGTACATGCCTGCCTAGCATGGTTCATCTGACCTTGACCTCATTTTCATGGTTCATTGGTCAATGTTTAGTTTACTTGGTTAATGTTAAGTTTATGTGACAGTTGTAATAAAGCTTTATATTTAGGACTATCAACATAATATCAATGATGAGTAAAGAAGGCGAGACATTTCAGCGTGTGCACTCTTGTATAGATTAGACCGTTGGTTTTCCTGTTTGAATGGTTTTGCACTAGTCATTTTGGGGCCCTTTATATCTTGCTGTTCGGTGTGAGCTAAGGCTCCGTGTTGAAGGCCGTACATTGACCAATAATGGTTTACTTTAAAAATTGTGACTTTGATGGATAGTTGTCTCATTGGCACTTATACCAAATCTTCTTATATCTAATATGTACAATATATGCACATGATGTCATGATTTCAAGTGAGCAACGCATTACTTGTAATTGATGCAGTTTGTTTTCTTTGAGGAGGTACAATTCTTACATTCAGAATCTTAATTTTGTTGTTAAACACACATGAGAATGGAAATGGGGAATGTGTCAAAGAGACAACAACCCGACCAAAGAGCAGAAAACAAACCAAGGCCACCAATGGGTCTTCAACGCTAGGAAAAAATCCTGCAATCGGAAACACTTCAGCTGGCACCTAAACAATAATGTATACTAATTCGGCGAAATGGACACCACACTGAACCACATATTTTCATAATGTCATGATAATGTTGAATTAGATAAATTTGCGTATTTAAAATTACCTACGGTCACTGTGTAATTCAAAAATATTTTACTTGTAATATTATAAACACCCGAAAGTGCTTTTCAAACTGTTTTATTGTCTCAATAGTAAATATATTATTTTTGATAATACTTGGAAGAAATGTGTTTCCTCAACTGCTTACTTGAAACCAATAGAATTATTTTTGATAAAAAGTTAACTATGAAAATTGAAAAATCAAAGAAGTAACATATATATAACCTACTTATCCAAAATATACCTGTTTATGACATCTTTACACTAAATCCATTGGATGTTTGATGTGTAATATTTTAGTTTTCGTCGTAGATGCATGATTTTTTTATTAGTTGGCTTTGAACTAGCTGTCAGTAACTGCGAGTAATCTCAGATCTGTACTTAGTGTCTTTTTGTTGTGGGGATGTATAAGTACCCGTCCACGTCCACTCTGTGTTTTTGTTAGATGTTTTTCTATTTGTATCCATCTGATGAGTTAATCCTTTAACAACTGATTTTTGTCGAGCCTGCGACTTTTGTCGCAGAAAGCTCGACAAAGGGATAGTGATCCGGCGGCGGCGGCGTTAAATAACTTCTTTTAAAAAAGCTTTATATTTTAGAAGGTGGAAGACCTGGATGCTTCATACTTTACATATAGATGCCTTATGTTACGAAGTTTTCGTCTGTCACATGTCCATTGTCATTGACCTCATCTTTATGGTTCAGTGACTACTTGAAAAAAGTTAAGATTTTTTGTAATGTTAATTTCTCTCTTATTATGAGTAATAGGATAACTATATTTGGTATGTGCGTACCTTGTAAGGTCCTCATGCCCGTCAGGCAGTTTTCACTTGACCTCGACCTCATTTCATGGATCAGTGAACAAGGTTAAGTTTTCGTGGTCAAGTCCACATCTCAGATACTATAAGCAATAGGTCTAGTATATTTGGTGTATGGAAGGATTATAAGGTGTACATGTCCAACTGGCAGGTGTCATTTGACCTTGGCCTCAAGTGGTCAAAGTTAAGTTTTTGAGTTTTGGTCTTTTTTTCTAATACTATATGCAATATGTCAACTATGTTTGGTGTATGGAAATATTTTATGATGCACATGTCAGTCTCGCAGGCTTTATTTGACCTTGAACTCATTTTCACGGTTCATTGCTCAGTGTTAAGTTTTTGTGTTTTGGTCTGTTTTTCGTAAACTATAAGCAATAGGTCAACTGTATAGAAGGATTGTAAGCTGTATATGTCTGTTTGGCAGGTATCATCTACTTGACCTCATTTTGTTGGTTCATTGGTCAATGTTAAGTTTTCATGGTTAAGTTTGTTTCTTAGATACTATAAGCAATAGGTCAACTATAGTTAATGCATAGGTTGATTTTAAGGTGTACATGTCTGCCTGGCATGGTTCATCTAACCTTGACCTCATTTTCATGGTTCATCGGTCAATGTTTAGTTTTCTTGGTTAAGTCTGTTTCTTAGAAACCATAAGCAATAGGTCAACTATATTTAGTGTATTGAATGATTGTAAGGTTGGTAGTTGTAGTAAAGCTTTATATTTAGGACTATCAACATAATATCAATGGTTAGTAAAGAAGGCGAGACATTTCAGCGTGTGCACTCTTGTTATAGTTTGTTCTTATGTTGTACTGTTACACCACTGTCCCAGGTTAGGGAAGGGTTGGCGCCTTCAAACGAGTTTAACCCCGTCACATTCTGTAGGTGCCTGTCCCAAGTCAGGAGCCATAGTGTAATTCGTTTGTTGCTGTGTAACATATTTGTTTTTCGTTCATTATTTTGTACATAAATTAGGCCGTTAGTTTTCTCGTTTGAATTGTTTTACATTTGTCATTTCGGGGCCTTTTATAGCTGACTATGCGGTATGGGCTTTGCTCATTGTTGAAGGCCGTACGGTGACCTATAGTTGTTAAAATCTTCTTATTTTTATACTTACACGGGAAATATAGTTAACGTCACTGACATCCTTAACAACCAGAACTGTTCTGAATTATGATCAAAGAGCTGCTTTTTATTTACACAGTTCTACGCTAGAACTGATCCTGTCAGACTAGAAGACTCCATTGCCTTTTTTCTAGAGCAGCTCAACGACAGATTATTCTGACAGTTTTTGAGGAGAGGCTAGAACTCTTCCCAACTGTTTATATTCATTATCATAAAGGGTCTCGTAGTCAACATTCATGTAAGGGCTAAAACAATCCATCTTCAACTAGAGTATATGCAAGTGTTTTTTCATATTTTAGTATCGTTAGTTAAAATCACCACAATAGTTTCAAATAAAAAAATGAGAAATATATCCTCCTTCAACGAACTGTGTGGCATTACTTCCATCCTATACTATTAGCTGAATGTAGAGCACTGAATAATCTCGTGTAGAAGATTTTTTTCTTTCAGATATATCAGTGTTTATCTGATAGTTTTAAACGAAAAGGCAATGTTAAAACCTTTTCAGTTAAACGGCGTTCAGTAAAGGGTGTATCGCAGTCAACATTACTGTAAGGGTTAAAGCATTAAATCTTCAATGGTTGTATATAAAAGTTTTAGTGTTAGTTCCATATTTTTAGCATCGTTAGGTCAAATTACCCAAGTATTTTCAGAGAGAGAGAAAAAGACGACAAATATATCCTCCTACATGAAACTGTGTGGTAATGCTTTCATGCGATGCCATCATCTGAATGTAAAGCAAGTAATCTTGTAGAAGATTTTCTTATTATCAGACATTTGAAATCTTTTTGTGATAGTTTTAAACGGGTATATATATATATATAGACAATGAAGTTTTTTCGTTTGAAACTATCCGTTGACTTGACGTTCAGTAACATAATTCTATTAGACAAGAAGTAGTTTAAAATTGAGCAGTCAGAGTTAAGAATTATTTCTTGCAGGCATTGTGTTTTGTATAAAAGAAATGATATGAGGAATTTTAATAAGAAATATCATTCCTTAGTGATATCAAGTTGAGATTGGCAAAGAAGTTTCAGAAAATATTTAGAGTTGTATCATTGCAACCATGTATACAAAATAGTTAACACACAGAAAGATGGGAGTCTACCGCACAGGTTTTTTCATCCAACTAGACACGATAAAAAGGAATTTCAAAAATACCTTCCATCTTTATCTGCTATATTTTGGTCACAGAAGAGAATGAACATGTAATCTCATATACTGTTCGATGGGTCATAATTATATAGAACGAAAAACGGCTTTATATTCATCCCATCAGGACAGAACGGGGAATATGACCGTGAAGAGCATCTTTTTGCTATTTTCATGTTATGCTAGTAATAACAATCGAGAAGAACTTGTATGAATAATGTTTTTGAAAATCGAACACTCTTCCTAGGATCAATTTTTCACTTGAAAATATAAGAATTGTTTAAGATTACTATCAATTGATAAATATACCGAGTTCAATTTATACTTGCTGGTGTTTCGTAACGTACATTTGGGAGCTTGTAGTATGTGACATAATTACCGTCATGAGTTCCACCCAATCAGCACAAAGTAACAAATCATTACTGATTGTCTCCTAGTCATCAATCTTATTCATAAGTATGAAGAAACTACTTGTTCTTGCGGTTTTTACGAGGAAAATTGAAAGTTGTCAAATCAGAATAAAGAATGGCCTTTGGTTACCTCGACACACGATTGAAGCAAAATGAGGAATTTTACAAAGGACTTTGCATTCTTTGTCTTTGTCAAGTTTGACTCTTATCGACCCAGTAATTTCAAGGGAGTATAGGATTGACGGCGGACATGCACCAAGTTATGGCAATAGCTCAAATATCTATGGGCAAAATGAACTAGAATTAATCTAAAGAATAAAATTAATGTGTGTATGAGTTTTATAAATAGAGATCTATCGAATCCGGACAATCATAATATTGTTCAGTCGTACCAACAATAATTAATTTTCTAATGATTTTTTATTGCTTTGAATATAGTACTTCATGAAATAACAAGCTACGCTATAGTATCATAAGTCGCAGTTGAAAGTATTGAGGAAAGCAGGTGCATATATTCAATAGTAGATGAATTGATTTTGTAAAAAAGGGTATCAAGGAAGTAACATTTAATAACAAGTCGCAATCCCATCTTGTTTTTGTTTCAGAGACCATTGACAGCTGTGAAACTTGACGTAGAAGAATGGGAAATGTTTGCTTTGCCGAACATGATATCAGCTGGTAACCTGAAGTCAGTCAAGCAGCTTCTGCTAGAATTTCATATTACAATGCGACCAGAACCTGATAAACAAAGATATATTCGGGGACTAAACATATTGATAGATTTGTTTGATGAAGGATTTAAAATATTTTGGACCAAGAAAAATTTATTTTGTAGATTTACATCTCTTGAAGGAGATATAGAGAGGACAGGGTGTCACGAACTATCATTTGTGAATATCAATACATTGAAAACTGATCTTTAATGAATAACACTGTAATTTGACAAACATATCATGCCTATTTAAAGAGGTGGCAAGAAAGAAGTCGAAATGTCTCTCGTTGGGTAGCGTGTTTATTCCTGAAATTTATACTTAATCATAACACCATATCACGTACTAACGAAGATTATTCGATAAAGAAATATATGGATTGCAGCTTTTAAAATCTTTCAAATATATTACGTTTAATCATTTCTTTATATAGGTTTATATACTCGTGGGGAACTTTATGATAAAAGAATAAAAATATGTTTGTCATAAATTAAATATTAAAGTAAGGGGCTTAAATTTGGTGAGAGAAAAAAAATGGGGTCATCATTCATCTAAGCTCAAAATCGGCTGTAAAATAGTAGAGTTATTTTTTGCATTTGAAAATAGGGAAAATAGAGGTGTTGACATATTCAAATCGAATATTTATATAGACAAATATTTGTATTTTTTTTCAAATGTAAATTTTAGAAAGTTTCGAAACAAGTAAAGTAGATGCCACATTCAAAACAAAATTGTAAATAAAAGTCCAAATGTAAGCCTCCTATATAGTAAATCAAAATTATTCGACAAATATCTGCTGAATCCATTTGTTTATCAACAACTCCATACCCTACTGAGCAACTTGAATCATGCAAACATGATAGTGCACAGATATATCATATAATCAAATTTTATTTACTTAAATTAGTTATATAAAATCCATAAAATATAGTTATTGTACATAAACATTTGCCCTAACCATATTGAAATAATAAACAGAGCTCTTCATTCACCATTTTATCAATGTATATATTGAATATAAGATCATTGTTGTATATTGAATATAAGATTATCGTTGTGTACTTGTTTATATTTATGTGTTCGACCTTTGTACCACACTGCCCCTATATAGGGGCGCCCAAATTGGCAATACAGAATTTTTTATGTTGTTTGATGTTGTAAGCCTTTGCTAAAAATTGAAGTACAGTTACATGTAAGTGGAATAACTAAGCCACCAATGAGGTAATAATGATACTTCGTTTTAAAAACAATTAAATGAAAATGGCTGGAAAGAGGAGCTGGTTTGGTTCTTTTATTATGTATCACCAATTTAATACCAGAGCCGTATTTCCAATAATGTCTACCATCTCAAACCAAGATTATCTAGAGTTGTGTCTCTTAGACTAGGAAATTTTACTAACTGCTAGATATTTTCTTCTTTGCCTTTGGCTCTCCTGTTCTCGAACAGTCGGAGAGTATGATATAAATAAACAGGACATTACAGATGACTAAATTGCAGGAATATTGTTAGTTGCTAACGTCTATTTTTAAAATTATTAACAATTGAGGACTTTTGAATAGCAGAGTAATTTGCAGCTTCTGAAATATTAAAGTGGTTGCCAAAAATGATAAGTGAAAAGGTTTTGACACCCGTTTCAAACTACGATGTTCAAACCCCTATTTAAGCAGATTGTACAATTTCTGAATTCAAATCATGAATAAATCTTGCACTAAAGAAGTAGAACTTGCATATGACTACATTTTTTTTCTAAAATGTGTATGAGTAACCTTATTGTTCGAGATGAAGGCAACAACATAAATTAAAATGCAAGTAGCTGAAGTTGCTTCATTAATACCTATTTTGATCCCGCATCTGATATTAAACTGGACTCGCAGAATTCGCAGATGATAAGTAAAAATCAAACAGCAATGGCAGCGTTACAAACATTTTCATAATATATTCAACCCATACATTTGAATTAGTGTTTCTCAGTGTTGATTTTAATGAGAATTACTGTCTCTAACACGAATCTCCCGAGTACTAGGTATGTCATTCTCCAGGCGGAAGATATTATTACTGTAATTTGCTGGATTTTTGCCCGCTTCTGTAAGCAGTAGACTTCTTTGAATAAGTAATGAAGATCTGTCTAGAAAATTGGTTTCCCCGCCATGATCAGTATTGAATTATTGCATGTTATTTGTTCATTTGGCAGAAAATGCTTCTTTGTTTGGCAAGAAAGTGAAACAAACATTCCATCGCGATTCCAATTAAAATGTCGTACGTGATGGATTTATGGGACTGAATGTTCAGAGAAATGAGCCGTTATATAACCAGAAAATATAACTAATAATGGAGACTGTTCTTGGAACGGTCTGTTGGCATTAAAACTATTTGCTTTTAAAACAGTTATGCGTCTCTAAACTATACACCTAATGTGTTGTAGATAACCTAATAATCCGACGTGACTAAAGTGATTTTGATGATGAAAATTATACATGCATGCATGGAACAATTTACTGAAGAAACCATCAATTCAAAAATGGAAGACATATCAATTATTTGAAAATATTATTAAAAGCTGAAGTTTCGATAAAATACATAACAACCATTTAGCATATTCTGCTGTTAAGGTGACATCCATCAAATTAATAGTGTATAAAGGTGACTATGTAATTCGGAGAACACAGATTTGTTTATTCTTTTCTTTGCAAAATAGTAATACATTGATAAGTACTTCATGGTAATACAATGATAAGTACTTCATGGTAATACAATGACAAGTACTTCATGGTAATACAATGATAATTAAGTACTTCATGGTAATACAATGATAAGTACTTCATGGTAATACAATGATAAGTACTTAATGGTAATACATTGATAAGTACTTCATGGTAATACAATGATAAGTACTTCATGGTAATACATTGACTACTGTAAAACAAATCTTTTTATAGTTAATGAAATACTTTTTTTTTTTTTGTTAGTTGAATTTATGTTTGTGTTCTCTATTGGTTATTATATTTAATATAACCTAGTTCATACTTTATACAATATTCAGAGAGGCATCTGCGACATTTACAAAAATGGAAATCTGGTTTTATGACATGAACCTAATATAGTACTGCATGTCATAATCATTTTTACCAAAGAAATTTAAACGACAGATGAATAATTCAGAAAATATAAAGCTGTAAGATTGATGAGAATTTACTGATTTCTTTAGGGAGTCTCGGTGTATAATACAACTTCCTACGCTTCTAAACAGGTTTACTTACAATTGTATACCCTTATGAGTTTAGTAAATGTATTCTTGAAATAAAGATATTGGATGTAAAGTTCATAATTTGATAACATTTACAGACATTAGTTATAATCAAAAAGTACATTTTAAAACCGTATCAGTTTCGTGAAGTTCTCTCTGTTGGACATGTTCTGAAACAATTATGGACATTTTAAACTTAAATCATTGAAGCTGTAACTCAGTTTATTTTGCCTCCCTCTGTAAAATTTCTTCGACTGGTTATCTTTTCTTTTTTATCCAAGTGTTGTCTTACCCTGTTCTCAATTTTGTTCCTTTGTCAAATTGATATTTGGGGATTTCCAATAGCGTAGTACACCTCCTATTTTATGTTTTGATGTGATATATGTTTGAGGTATCTTATTACATATAATATGGACTAAACCATATCTGCATTTTGACATTAATGGTACGTTTTGTATCCGTTCACAGGGATGTTTGCTTTTGGATCGTATGACATGAATTTGCAAGCTCTGCTCAAAGTTTCTAATTGAAATGAGATTGAAGTTTTTTCAACACACATAGATAACTTTATTGCAATAACACTCCTAAGAGATCTTACTGTTTATCCGTGAACTTACTGTTTATACCCGTGAACTTCATAACCCACAAAGCGATACCTTTTTATTCGTGTGTTTGTATTATTTTTAATCCAGTTTAAGCATAGTAATCGGATAAGACATGTCTTAAGTTTTCAAATGTAAAATATAGAAAAATTCGAATGAGCAATGTTGATACCAAAATAATATATAAGGATAAAATTATGTAATACGAAATCTTAATGGATTCTGTTTTAAAAATGTAATGGCAAAATCGATTTTTATTTTTTTTTTACTAAAAAAAATCATATTTCTTTTATTATAGAAATGGGCTATGAATAAGAATCAAGTAGAATGAATGAAATCTCTGCATTTTGATATTATAACACGTTTTATGAATTATAGTGTCTAACGGGAAACATTATATATCATCAATTAAACCAATAACTGGTTCTTTTATTATACCATACATTAGTGGATTACTATTTATCTGCCGTTTTCTTGAATAAAATATACAGAATATTGTGTAGATATTTAATGATTTCACATAATATTGTTAATGATGAATTACAGTCTTAATTGTATAAATTCACAAAAATGTAAAGTATTTGGTCTCTGGGGGATAGTTGTCTCATTGGCAATCTATACCATACTCCTTACTTTTATATAAAAACATCAACACAAGACAAAACTAATTCTCTTAAAATTAAAGAAAACTGAAGTTGAGTATGTACCCATCCTTTAGACACAGCCTGACTTGGCTTAATATGTTAGATGTTCCAGTGTGTCAAGACTAAATAAAATAAATTAGAAATAAAAGCATTGATACTTAAGTTGAATACCAACCTGTCTAAAAAGATATTATACACGCATTTACATTTTGTAGCATAATATCTTTTTGAGTAAATCTGTTGCTCATATCTAAATATTAAAGACAAGATCTCAAAACGAGGCTATTTTGGCAGTTTTTTTCTGTTTAGCGTTAAAAAAAGTTTGAAGCCCTAATGAATAAATAAATGACGAATGATAGGTATCGAACGATCATGGAAATTACGTACTCGTAAAACTTGTCAAACGTAAAACTCGTAAAACAAGAATCTCAAAATGAGGCTATTAAATGCCCTAAGTGTTTCAACGTACATTATTAGTTACATAGTGTGCTAGTGACCTAATACGGTACATATGGGGTCAGTAAATTCCATATGGGGTGAGAGCGAAGCTCAAATCCACATATGGAATTTACTGACCCCATATATACCGTATTACGACACTAGAACACTATGTAACGAATTTATCTTACCGACTATCTTAACGTGTGAAATTTAGACTAGTGACCTATCAAAATGAGCAAGTCTTCAATACCGTTAGCATTAAGAAACTACTTCCAATGATCATACAAAAACAGATGCCAACAATAACAACTTTTTAGGTTTAAATGTGTTTTATGAATTTATTTCAGTCTTTATCATCAATTTCTTCGTCTGTTGAAACCTTTGAGATTTTTCTCAGTACCGTTTTTTTTTTATAAAGGGACGTAACACCACTACTAACCGTGTATGAAATAAGCCCCGCTAACCTAATATGTAATATACACGGTCTCCACGCGGACGCTTTTAACCAATCATATTCCTAGAAATGTATAGGAGGTAAGATAAAGATATATATATTCACCTGATATAAGACAAAGAGATGCCATACATGACAGATTTAGAATGGATGGGAACCAGTGTCCTATAGAATAAATATATAAATATCCTTAAATAGCAATTTTTACCCATGCAAATTTTTCCGTGTGGGGAAACTGGATCCTCCCGGAAAAATTGGAACGATTCCACTTTTTCCCCTCAGCGTGATTTGGTGAGGGGGGGGGGGGGGCAGGATCAGGGCCTATTTTCTCCCTGTTGTAGCACGAGAAGTTATTTGTCCCCTCTTGTAGTAACGTAGTCAACGTCAGTTGGAAATTATTTATCTACTAAAGGATAGAAACCTTCCTTAAGTATTTTAATGTTACCATACCATCATCGCTTCATTATACATTCAATATCATATGATTTATTATACATATATATGAAGTATAGTCTGCTGTAATGATCACATCCATTATCCTCTGCGAACGCTTGGTATAAGTTACTTGACTCTCTGTAGTAGGTCGTTATGCATACGATTCATTTTTATATTTTTGGGACCGCCCGAAGATGACCATGGCCCTCGATGATATCCGTTCCATTTCACATTTGACCCACAAGAAAATGGAATTGCAAATCAGCGTAACATGACTGAATGACGCCATGAGTTATAAGTGCAAAAATACCTCTTAGTTTTGAAAAA